CATTGTGTGCTTGTGGCATGTCTGTCAGCTTGGATGAGCTTTATTATTCTCTGACACCTATTTTAGTTTTACACTGACAACCTATGTACAAGGTGTTGTTGTTTTTACCCTCAGCATTGCAGCTGATTGCATGTATTGGTCCGCTGAAGAAATTCTTTGCAGGGTCTTATATTTAAAACATTGTACATTTTTCAAAGTAAACAATACGTAAGCATTACATCATGTGCATTCTAAAATATATTGGAGCAGTGTGTGTAAGCTTTTTTGGTATGCTTTGGCTTCATTTCCATATGACTCAGACTCTAGAGGGGAGAGTGATTTGCGTAAATGAAGAGGTGTACCTAATTGAGTGTCCACTGAGTGCACGATGCAACGTTAAACGGCGAAAAGTACTGCACCTTTCTGACAAACACAACCCCACGTTAAATGTTCAGGAGTGTTCTTTTATGTACACTGGAGAAAATTGGCTTTCATCCATTTCTATATTTATATTCATGAAAAGCTTCCATCCAGTCATTATCAGGGTCAAAGACAGAGAACAGAGAGCAAGTCACCGAGGCATTTCATGGGCAACGTCTCTATCAGGCTATTTCACCTGAAGCCAAATGGATAATTCAATATGATGGCGTGAAGATAAAGCTCTGATACTGGCGGTGTCAGTGATTTGCAATAAAAGAGATGGGGTCTGGAATAAACAATGGTTTCCTCTCATTCGGATGTTCCACCATATGGTCTCTCCCTGTACAAATACGACACATGCAATGCCAAGCTCATTACGGAAGGTAGAATATGCATGAGTATCCCCACTGTGCTACCACTTCATTAGAGCATTACCGTGTGTTTTAATTACACATTCATTATTTGTTCATCATTTTTAGTGTCATCGGGATGGACAGTGCTATCAACCTTCTATTTGTCTCGTAATCTAGTTTTGGCATACTGCCCAAATATTTAAAAAAATGGAAATTTATCTATGTCAATACAATCTTGATGTTTGTCTCAAGACAAAGGCTGATTATTTCCTTTTCATAGTAGCATGTTATAGAGTGAGTTAAAAATCTGGATTTATGTATAGAGCTGGCTGGAGTCACCAGGAGGCAAGAATGGGTAGGTTGCAGTGGTACACATGTTGGATTACCACACCTTTATCCCAATTTTGCCAGTCATTAATTCAATTTGGTCATCAAAAGAAATGTATTTAAGATTAGGGAAGTAAAGCGATCACGTTTGGATACAAATAAAGAATCTGGAGTCTTGGTATGCCAGCTAGCTCAGTGGTTATGATGTTTGCCCCATATACAGTATAGAGGATATGGTCCTTATCGCAGCAGCTGTTGGTTTGAGTGCTTCCTCTGGCCTCTGCTGACTGTCATCCCAACTCACCTCCCATCATTGCATGTCTCTCTTCAGCAGTCCTATACAAGACAGAATTACCCCACCCCCCCAAAAAAACATCAAGTCTTGAGTCCATATAACCATTAAGGATATAAAAAATGTTGTAGTCACCATAAATGTTTAAGTATGAAAGAAGTATGGCCACTGCTTGTATATGTTAAATGGACTTGAGCTTAGTGTTTTGTTTTTTTTCTAGTATTCTGCTGATTCAAAGCGCCTTTACACCGCATTTCACACCTACCCATTCAACTCCACATTAACACTGATGGCAGTGGTTGCTATTTAAAGTGACCATCAGATGTTACTAATTCCATTCATACACGACGAAGCAGCAGGAGCAATTACGGATTAAGTGTCTTGCCCAAGGACACATTGGACATGTTGTTACAGGAGCTGGGGATCGAACCCCCAACCTTCATGTTGAGAGACGACCGACTCTATCAACTGAGCCACAGCCGCCCCAAAGCCATTTGTAAAAGCTTTGATACTTTGTGAAGGTGTTATCTACCTTTATCCCTCTGTGACCATTTTTATTCAGCTCCAGCCTTTACAGCTACATATCCCGTGATTCTTGCGGGGGGATTTACTTTTTGGGGTTGATGACATTGCACAGAATAAGGTTCAGCGCACATTGGACCTCCTTTCCAGCCAATCCTCTTGTGCAGCTTCAGCTCAGAGAGGTTTCTCACCCAGTGGGTCCACTGAGATGTGCATAGCGTGGGTCGGTCAGTCATTCACCCCCCCCCCCCCCCCCACCAAAATGGGTCGATGATGCACAGCCATCGGGGCTCCAGCACATCACCCTGGTGTGTCAAGCAGAACATCACACGCTGACGGCCCTGTCAAGGTCATCAAAAGGAGCACTGCTCTGGACATGTGCCATCCGAGTGAGAAGAGCGCAACGGGTGTGCATGAGCAACCGACCGAGGCGGTCTCCGTCCTGGAAAAGATGCTGGAGGTCAGATTTAGGTTGTGCTTTTTCCATGCAGCACTTCACCTTCAGCGCAGTACAGAAACACATGTAAGAGTAAGTCTGAGGATATGAGCTCGAGAAATGAAAAGGTACTCCAAGGTCCTAACATCATTCAAAGCCTCTCCTCTTCTTCACAACGTGCGGAACACTATGTAAAACCACTCTAAATAAATAGTTTATGCCTCTACATTAAGCTGCAGCACATTAACATTAAATCAAACGTAGACTTCCCATCATAAAAAAAAAGAAGAAAAATGTCCCTTTTTTCTTAAAAGCCACTCAAACATAATTGAGCACAGCCACATACAACTGCCTTTGAATGGAATCATTATTTTCATTAAAAACCTATTCAGTAACTGCACAATTTATTTTCAAAACAGCTCATTTGTTAAGACATTCTGTACTTGTCGACCCACTTCCCGAGATTGTAATCGACATTACTACTCCACTAGTCCGGCTGGAAGTGTTCAAGCTGAACATAGAGCTCATCTTTTTATAAAGCATGTCCACAAAGTAACTCAGTGTTGAGTGAGTCTCCCAAATTCTGTTGTATGTTCCCTAAGTTTCCCGTTATTCACTTTTCTTTCTCTACTGTCATAACACTCTTTCATTTTTATATTTCTAACTTTACCTTATTTCTGCATTTTCTTCTTCATTCACAACTTGTAACCTTATTCTTCTCTTTTGCATTTTCCCTCTCCATTCACCCTCTGTCTAGCTCTCAGATTTGTGTGGATAATATCTTCATATCGTTCCCTCATTCTCAATCTCTATTTTCCATTTTCACCCCATCTTTTCCTTTTAACTCTATGCTTCAGCTCCCTCCACCTCTCTCATGTCCTTTCACATCTCATTCTCTTCATCTGGTTGCCTCCCATCCTCCCTCAGTCTCCCTCGTTCTCTCTTTTACATACTCCTGATGCGCTCCTGCTGGCCACGGGCTGTCCGAGGGGATTAATTGATAGTGAGAGATAATAAATCTTCCCATTAAGCGCGAGGCCCCTGCCCGTTGCTCATTATGTGCCCGCTGCTCCTCAACGCCATGCCCTGGGGTTTCCGCTTGTTTTTTTTTAACACGCACGTCTGCCATCCTTACACCAGCAAGGTCAGTCTCAGTCTAACACAGACGATTGGCTACCTAACCTCACGACACATATTCGTTCATGCATGACCACCATGCATGACCTCCATGTGAAGCACATGCCCCATCCCTCTTGTTTCGCTCTACTGTTAGTGTTTTACATGAAGGACCTAAGCAGCCTTCGCATGCAGCAGCTGTTGCATGCGAGCTCCATTTTCGTATTAGCATTTATTGACTCCAACATAAAAACTCTGCCCTTACATAGTCTATTTTCCACTTTTCTTCTATCAAGACAAAAAGAAAAGCTTATAATGAGTCACAATAGTTTTTTAGATAGTCAGTCTTAAACATTCCTTCATTTGTTGTTTTGGAAAGATTGGCCAGTTAGTGACTCTTGTTTTTGCTAACTATCTCGACAGCTGTTCCATCTCTGATCCATCTTATTGGAGTAGTGTAGCATTTTCTGTTTTGGTTTCTATGACCTGAAAAAAAAAATACTGTGGCAGTAAAACAACCTGTGAAAACTTCACTTACGGTTAATGTCTCGAATTGACCTTGACATTTGCTGGCTTTCAAGAAAGTGTTTCGGGTTTGTAATTTAATTTAATTTTTATTTTAGAGATAGGACAGTGGATAGTGTCAGAAACCAGGGAGAGAGCGAGAGTGGGGAACAACACGCGGTAAAGGAGCAACAACCGATAGGCCCCAGGCAATCTTGAGTGTTTCAGGTTAAACCTGTAGACCAAACCACTGAATGGGAGACAATGTTTTGGATCAGCAGCATAGTGGAAATTATATTTCTACTTAAATTTAGCCATATTACCAAGACATTTTGGGTTATTTTTAAGACATGTGAAAATACCCTACAATGGGGGCTATTCAACACTAGGAGGCGATGTCAAACTAACCAGCTAAGTTTTGCCAGAGGTTCATTGATGAGTTTGTCCAAACCTATATCTATCATATTGTCCTTTAAAATATAATCATCCAATCTAAACAATTGTCATCTTATTTCTGGTAATTTGGTAAAATTAACATTTTAAAATACCTGGTGTCAATATTTAAACTAAATATAAGCTTTCTGAAGTTGTTATATTTAACTTAAAGTCGGCAGGGGCGGCTGTGGCATTTAGTGGGGAGACACGTCCGATGTGTCCTTGGGCAAGACACTTAACTCCAAGTTGCTCCCACTGCTTCGTCTGCGGTGTATGAATGTGAATGCATGGGATTAGTTGCTTCTGATGGTCACTAAGTGTGTGAATGGGTGTGAAAGGGTAGGTGTGACCTGCGGTGTTAAAGAGCTTCAAGTAGTCAGAAGACTAGAAAAAGCGCTATACAAGCTCAAGTCCATTTACCATTCAAACTTAAAGTCAGTATTACAATTGGTGGTAAACAGCTTAGCATCAAGGACTCATGAGCACAGAACAGTAGATAAGTTGATAAATATTTGATCCTGTCCTGAAATATGCCCACATACTTCCCTTTACCATCCAGAAAGCCATGGTAGAATGGTAGCACACCAATCAATCAGTAGCTCAACAGGAGACATCAATCATTTGTATTTTTTATTTAAAACTTCATATAACCCATACAGCAAACTGTACAATTGAATTATTCACAATGTGTTAAAAAGAAAATAATCTGATAGCTTTTCTATACCATTTTGTCGACCCATGTTTTCGATGTCAGTTATTCTACTGTTCTCTTAACACATACAGTTACTAGGAAAACAAAAATCTTTTTTTTTTCTTTACAAAACCTTACAAAAACTATATTCATAGAAATTCTGCATGTCCACAAAGAAAACCCTGGTTGGCACCAACATGTTTTTCATATTGTTTGAAAGGTTTTCTGCCAAATGAAAGAAGCTGTGCAACTCAAAAAGAAAAATATACATTAAAAAAAAGGCTTACCATTGTGACTGCGGGAAAATCAAAACTCATATCACACACTGCTAATGGAACACAGGTTATGTAGCTTACATTTTGCATTATTTTTCGCTCACGTTTCATACAATTTTTGTGTAAAATGACATTGTTATTCACATTATTTTATAAAAAAAGATGTATATATTCATTAATCAAACCTGACTGAATCAGCCAAATCAGAAACCCTGTTGTAATTCCAACTAATTTAGATTATGATGAAGTTTTCAATTATTTCTCATGTTACAGAGGTGAAACACAGGCATACTTGAGTCTTTGTTTCACCTGCATGGGAAGCTACAGTACACGCGAGGGTAACAGTAATATACTATAGCCAGGTATCAGCCACGGCCATTCTTTAAACAGGTCCTCATCAGGATTTCAAGAGAAGTTAAGGTCCATTTTTTTTTTTGAGATCAACCCTACCACCATCCCTAGGGGGTGTCCCCTAGATTCTTTGGGGGAGTTAAACATTTCCGTTCCATGTTCACCTTGTAGAAATATATTTGATGATTTACATAGGCGTTCTCATACATTTACCATAAAACGTCTTTCTATTAAATAAATAAGGGTTTGGGGCTTTTGAACTGGGCTTAAGTGAGGAAGTAGGTTAAAGTGACCTCTCTAATGAAATAAATAGCATCTATAACATATTAGACTGTGAACAGAATAAATTTATAACTGTATAAATTTAGCAAAATACATTTTTCTCCTGCGGATCTTATCTACATACTCTACTTTGCAGAAGGGAATCCATAAACAATTATACAGTGAATCTCTACCAAACCAATGCTAAATTTTACAGATTGAAGTTTTCCTTGAACCACAGATAGTTCAGATTTTTTTTTTTATCTTGATGTATCAACAACTTAACCTCACAGAGGTTTGCTGTCCTAGGTGATGGCGGCTCACCCAATCCGTGAATCTTCCAAAAGCCATGACGCTTGTTGAAGACGTGCACTTAGGCGTTCAAGTCAACATGAACACGTGAATTCATCATCTGTCTTTTTTGTCCATTCACCAAACTTTCCCTTAGCATGTCCATACACCATGAGTATGGTGTCATCTGTACCAAGTACCTAATTCAACAGGAAATTAATTCAAACCTGACCAAACCTTAGAACCCTTATTCTCATTTAAAACCAAAGACTTGCAATTTTTCTTTTTCAATGTACATATTGCAAAACAGGCTGTTTCCTACCCCCCCCCCCCCCCCCCAAAAAAAAAAAGCATCTATATTGCATCTGGGAAATAAAGTACTTAGGACACTCAATGGTCCTGTAGCCACATATGGACAAAGTCCAGCAAGTACATCAATGGTTATGTCGCGATTGGTCACAATTAGAGAATGCACTTGCAACAAAATGCCCTTTAGTTTTAAGGTCACAGTCTCTTGCCCTTTGTCTCTGTGACTTACAATTCTTTATTCAGCTAAGATAAAATCAGAAATAACTAATCCAATGCCCTTCCTGCCAAATTGAAGTTTTTAAAAGTCCAGGTATGCTACCATAACAGGTGAGCACAGACTTAAGCAATTGGTTAATTTAACTGTCAATTATTCTGTAATTCTCATAATGAAATTCACGAGACCAACCTTAGGAGAGTAATTTTATCTGGAGGTGTACCATTTCACAAACCATTCACTTCAATGCCATGACTGTGCCAATACAACTAACTTGAGACACGTTACCCTTCATGGTTAAATAAAAATGTTATAGAAAGATCCTTTAAAAGTACCTCACCATTCTCATGGATTTTGCATTGAACCCAAAATAAGTGCCCCATGAAAGCTTTGTGAGTAGAGGAAGTATTCATACTGTTATATTGACTAATGTTGAGTTTTCAGATCTTTGGCAATTGAACTGATTAAAAATTGAATCATACAAAATTATTTTGAAATAAAATGTTCTTCTGTTATAATAAATCAAAGCAATTCAACGCTCCAATGGAGGGAAAAAAAGGTATCTCCCCATTCTAACTTTTCTTTTATGTAGATCTAGTTTATTTCATGTAATTACTTCAACAAACCTTAACTTTAGAATAAAGAGTTGTGTCTGACTTTTTGGCCTGGCAATCATTTATGTCCATGTTAACCATGCTTTCAGAAGATCCTGCAACTTATGACTGAACAATAACCATACAAGCCTCGACAACGTGTTTGAGGTAACATTATTTTCAGGCGTCAAAGGTCGTCCAGGAGTTTGTGTGAATCAACAGGTTATAGGTAAGAACTGGATATCATAATTTGAATGTGGAAAAATTGGATCTCCAAGGAAACTCCTCTTCCTTGTCCTCTGTGTGTATCTGTCATTTATTGCCATTCTCAACAAAGCCTTAATTCTTGCCTCAGTCCTTATTAGTCAATAAAAATGTCAGTCTTTCCTCTGGTTGAGGATTCTTGAAAGACGTGTATTTTCTTGTGTTTTTGTGTTGCGCACGTAAACATCAGACTTAAAACTGATAAATTGAGTATACTGTTTTCCCAGATCTCCCCCGATTATTTTCTTTTACATCTTGTGGTTTGGAGAACTGTGGTGAATGTTGTCATACCTGTGTGGCTGATGCTGCCATTTTCAGTTGCCCATGTTTTGTAAGTGTCCCAAAGTCACTGTGGTTAATGGTGAATCTGGTGATCCCGTCTATGCCATTGTCTCTGGTCTCTGGCAGGGTCCCCGACACGTTGCTCAGGAGGTTCTTGCCTTGGGGGGAGCACAGTGTCATGGGAACACGGGAGTCATCCCAGTGCTGCAGCTCATGTTGTCCTTTCCCGGGAGTCGTCGGTCGTTGTAGGCGTGCATGTTGATCACTGCATCCGTCTTCACCATGACTGGAGGCTGAGCCTTGTGTTTCACCCGCCTCTCGCAGGTGAACGACAGTCTGATCTCGTCCACCATGGCACTGCACAAAGACCTCTGGGCGAAAAGGGAGGACGCGGGGAGGGGAGCAAGAAGGAGGAGAGAGGGAAAAGGGATGGGGGGGTAAATGCCTTAGCTTTAAATTGTTCTGACAGTGGAGAGTGTCGACAGTCTAAAAAGCACAAAAGCATTCCAACATAACATTCATGCTGCGTTACTGCTGGTGTGTGTTCAACTCTGTGTGTGCGTGCACACAAATCCATGGCTGTCAGCAATGTCAAATCGCACCACCACCACATGGAGCATGAACACAGTTCATTATTGCTGCTGCATCAGAAAGAGGGGGAAAAGCATGTTGCATGAGAACGCATGCAACTACTTACTAAGCATGACTCAAATTAGTGATTTGCAGCAGTAAAGAGTCCATGCTTTTCTGACATCTCCACTGACTAATAAAGGATTAATTCTCTATGCTCCAATTTGCAATTATGCCTGTTAAATAAAGTAAATGTTGTGGTGTTATGGCTAAGTACTCCTGGGGATTACCCCAAGGCATGCAAATCCTTTTATAACATGTTTGAACTAAAAGCCATGAATAGAGCACAGCTTTGGTTTCGAGGCTATGTGGAATGAGTATCATAACAAGAAAAGGCATGGTTAGCAACATTTTTACTGAGAGTGAGGGTAAAATAAACTTAAATCCTGGTGGGGTGTAATTAAATTAATGTTTGAATTTTCCATTCATCCAACACACACAGTGGAGGACAAATTAAGAATCAGCAAATGTAATTTATGGAGACATATACCTGCTCACGTTCTGCAGTCTTCCGTAGCTTGTAGATGAATTCGGCGATTGCCACGAAAACAGACAGCACTAGGCCAGATGCCAGCACAATGAATATACCACCCAGATTCTGGATACCCATGGGGCCTGTCTCGCGACGCTCTTCATCCAAACAGCTGCTCCCACTCCACCACTTCTCCTTCAGCATGTGTAGGCGCCCATCCTCCAAGATGCTTAGGATTGCTATGGTGATTTTGTCTCTGTACGGGGAGCCTAGAAGCAACAGAAGGCCTGTTTTACTTTGGAAGGGAGGCCAGCTGGATTCTGCGATAATAAGGTTCATAAACACGTCATGGCATACTGTCTGACTAGTAGCTAAAAAAACATGTCTTATGCTGATGCGCTGTCAAGAAAAATCAATCCCTCCCCCTCATCCTTCAGAAGGCAGCACATAACTTGAATTTTTTATCACTTGGAAGACTGAATGAATTCTCTGGTCATTTGGAGTTCTTACCAAGAGGAGTGCCGATGCCGTAGCCTTTGCTGTCGATAAGCCCTCCCACCTGTGTCAGGTTACAGTTCCTCCTCGTGATGTAATCGATCGTCGTGGACTCCATAATGAGGGCGTAGTCAGACTTGAGCACCCTCTGGATCCCATCCTCAATGGACTTCACCAGTGATGTGCTCGGTTTGCTGCTCATAAAAGCCCACATCTTCTCAAAAGTAGAAACCTTAGATTTCTGTTGGGGATGGAAAGAGTCAGCTTTAAAAAGAAGTGCCTTTGAACGTTATTTGAACAGTCTCTCCTGCTGCAGGTGGAGAAAAAGTTGAAAAATATACAATGCTTTAAGCATAAAAAGAGGTTCAGCTTGAACAAAAATTACTTTCAAAAATGTAAGGCCAAAGAGCGAAAAACTGAAAATATGACTAACCATGAAACATGCTGGTTCCCTGCAGAATGGTAGGACAAGATTGCAGCTATGGGGATTTTTTGTAAAGCTTGAGTGTACGATATCAAAATTGGCACTTAAGTATTTGTTACTCTTTTGAAAATATCCTTTAGCCAATGACCCCGCAGATCGATGTGATTACTTCTACAGATCTCCATCGTCATGGGATTAAAGGACGGTAAATTGAAGCTTTGCACACATCTATTCTCATAAGTGCTACTGAAGCAGCAATAATAGAATGCCTATCCATTAGTCTTGCATCGGCTATGTGGTATTTCATGCTATTTTATAAGGGGTAACACTTATGCCATGTCTAATCCTAGATAATTACTGTCTAAAGACTATAAACCATTTCAAATTGTGAAAGATGCTATTATAAGAAGCCCTCCATTATGTGCAACTAGAGTAGATGCACAGTCCTGGCGTCTTAAGAATTGAGATATGATTGTGTGATATTAAAACCTAAAAGTACCAATTAGGATGTACAGTATAGCTGGTGTTGCCAAGTTGGCATCTTTGTCTGTAGATTTAGCAATTTTCTTTCCCCAGATGAGGAGGCGAGGTCAGTAAGGATCAAATGTCAACCAAGTACAGCTGACTATGATTTGCATTCAGCAACGTGTAATACACAAAGGTCTAATGATAAACACTACATCCCTATAGATCCCTCGCTCTGCTAAGAGTGCAAAATGGCATACAACCACATCCAGTAATTTTCTTCAACCTTCCAAAAGTTGGTGAGAGCTTCTTTCCTTGCAAACAGTTGGCTTGCATGCTTGTGCCCTTCAGTGCTCTTGATACAGTGTGTAATTTTACAAAACAACAGATCCTCACAAGAGGGTTTCCAGCTGGTGTGAAAACTTCCTTGCCAACATTGGCTTAAAACCTCCAATGACATTTCTAATGCAGAGAGTTTGTTTTCACACTCTCAGAAGGCCAATGACTTTTACAGAATCAAGATCATGGCTTCTAGTTAGCAAACTTAGTCCGCCATTACTAAAACATTTATTTTCCGGAGGTTTATTAATCATTTACTTGATGTTAGCAATATACTGTATTAGTCTCCTGTTATCAGTATAGACTGTAAAAGAAAACCAAACATGGCGGTAGTCCTGATTTCACACATTGGTGTTTGTCATATTGGAAATTATTTCTTGACCAAACTTTCAATCAAACAAGCGTCCTGGCAAATACAAACAGTGCAGTTGCTTCACCTCCAGCTAAATTTTCTTCTACACTGTTGCCTTGGACACAATTTTTCAGTAAGTATGACGCTTTGTATTCTTTAATATTTTTCTTTTTGGTTGCTAATCAATTGAATTTGGTAAATTGATAGCTAGCAGAGCTGTAAGCCAGTAGTATGACTAAGCATTTTGAGTTCGATAACCGTGGTCTTAGACTATTATTTTTTAATGTATTGTACATTTTTAGACTTTGATGCAGTTTTTACAAAAAAAACAGTTAAGTCGCCGATAAATGTCAAGAAGAATTAGCCTTATACTTTTTCAAGGATTACAGCTGTTAGCTAGATGTCTAGCTTTGAATATCAGGAAGAGTATGGAGTTATAAGAAAGGCTCCCTCTACAGTGTATAGCAATTACAAATTGAGCTATTAATAACTCATATTTAGTTTTTCAAACAGGCTCTAAATGTATGTTTATTTTTTCTGTGAAAAATAGCACTTTAATGGGACCTAATGACATTCTTTTCTCTTGCTGCTAGCCTCAAGTGGACACTTGAGGAACTGCAGTTTTCTTTGCGCATTGGCTTTTTTATCTATATGGATACATATACAGAGATGTATATCAGATGTTTATGTGGAACATATCTAAAGCATCTGTTTTTTTTTTAAATGGGAATTATAAAATTGAACATTTGGCAAGTTATTGGATTGATACCGAGCGTACGCCTCTCAAACTTGCATCAAATCTCAGCTGCAAATTAAACACCGACATTTAAGTAAGCCACTGTAAAATAAGTCTAGTACCAAATCCTTCTGGCTCCATACATCTGCAGAGCCTTTTATCTACTTCTCGGTCTCCTCAGTATTTATCACGCTTCTCTGCCTCATTGAGTCGACATCATTAGGCCTTTCTGTAAGAGCAAGACGGAGCAGAGGGCACTTGAGCCTTGCAACTCTGATGAGGTAATTAAACACCTGTGTCTGCTTCTATTTATGGCACAACGGCCACAGCTACAATTTATCAAAGTACACAGAATGATCTGGAGTAACTTTCATTTACACAGCTACAGAGAGGAAGTAGAGGGATGATTTTCTTTACAGAGAGTCAATGAGTTGAGTCAGATCTAGAAGCTCTTGATGAGTATGAGATAATTCACATGCAATCTTACAGTATTATTATTAGAGAAGAGATGTTTTTATAAACACATATAGGACTACTGTATCAAACATGCATGATATTAGCAAAAACCCAGAAACCCAATTATGTTACCAAAATGGAATTCAGTAGATTCAACAAAGAGGCATACACTATTTATGAGCTCAATTTTTTGAGTACATAAAAAAACTAGGGCAGAAAAATGCCCTGGAAGAATAATTTTTTTCTGGTGTCTTACTATTGAATGTCATAAACTTATGGACTGTCTTCAATAGAATTGTGCAGTGTTTTCATTTTCTTACTCGGTGTAAAAATGTAACTCGGTTACATGTGTTATTCAGCACCACGGCAGCAGCGGCAAGCATCTAAAGCAAAGCTCAAAATAATAAAATAAAGTCAAAGACCCTGCAGGCACACGCTGAAACTTCGGAATAAAAAAATCATTATGGAGGAACACATCAAACAGTGTAAAGAAGTGGAGAAGCTGAAGAAGAATTTGCCTTTGCTGTGGGAATTAAGATCTGAGTGGAATAAAAATTATATATTTATAACCTATACAGTTTCTACCTACTACGTAGAAAAAAATAGTTTTTGAAAAGTCAATGTAAGAAGTCAAGATTCAACATCTTAGTGTTGAACATCTAAATGGCTATACATGTTTGTACTAAGCATGCTTCAGCTGCAGTATGTACAGGGTAATACACAGTGAGGGGTCACAGTGAGGGGTTGTTAGTTTGGACAATTACACAGCTGTGTTTAATACTTGTTTCCTCTATAGAAGATCGATGCTATAAATAGCACCGTTAGGGAGTCTGGAGGACTAACCTAAAACATATCTCGCCATAGAAATTCCAGTACATTTAACATTTTAACAATCAGCTTTCTCCATCAAAAGCTGTAAGTAGCATTATTTCCAGATTTCAAATATTTTACAAAAAAAGTTGAAATGCTGGCTAAAAGCAAACCAGAGCTGTACCCATTTTTAATTGTTGCATCTTGATTTAAACATTGGTTTATCAAGAGTTTGTATTGCCATATTGTGATATATGAATTTTAATGTAACCTCATATAGAGTTGTATGTGTTTTAATGTTATTAAATGTTGCATATTTGGGGGCGCGCTGGTGGCGCAATGGTTAGGGGCTATTGTATTGAGCTATGTACTGAGGCTGTTGTCTCAAGCGGGTGGCCCGGGTTCGCATCCCACCTGTAGCCTCCCTCCCGCACGTTGCTCCCCACTCTCTCTCCCTGGTTTCCGACTCTATCTACTGTCCTATCTCTCCAATAAAGACACAAAAAGCCCAAAAATAAATCTTTAAAATAAAAAATGTTGCATATTTGATGCTCTGATAACCCAACTGGGACAAGGGTTAGTAAAAGCTATATTCTTCCTGTGCAGCACATCTGTTTCATGCTTTGTGTTGAAACCATGTTAAATTAATTCATCACCATTAATAAATGAATTCAAATTCAAAACATGATTCTGATTACTGTGGGTGGGGACAAGAAAATAGGCGAAAACAAGGGAGAAAAGCAAGAGGTTAATAGACAAAAGAGAAATTGAAATAGTTTTGGACTTTATTCTTTATTGATCTAAAAGGGAATTTGCTGCATGTCATACCCTACAGTCTAATCCTAAAATGTCCTGTCTCTCTTCAGCTGTTTTCAGTTTTGGGTTTTTCCATAAACCTTCCACAAGTTTTATCCTTTTTTTTCCCTAACAGTAAAGGATCAAATTAAACAGACTTCCTCTGCAGATTAATATGATAAGAGTCCACCAATTTCTGTGATCAGAGCTACCTTTCATTAGCATGATCATTCACAATAAGAAAATAGCTTGACCCAGTCATTAGTATTGGATGAGTGTACTCTACCTTGAAGAAAGACATAGTTGCACCATCTCTGACCACACCATACTCGATCTTGGTCTGCTTAGCGATGTCATCGGCAGAGTCCACAGGCGAGTCCATTCTCTCCACAGTGAGAAAAGCAGCCAGATTAGCTGTGTACGACGATATAATGATGAGTGTGAAGAACCACCAGATCCCGCCGATGATCCTGGTCGACAGGGCTTTGGGCATCAGCTCTGAGCCTGTAAGCAGCACGACACAGGAGAGGTAATTAACTAGATAGAATTGTACCTGCCAAATGTGTAACTGAATTAAACAAATGTGGAAACATGATCACATGCATTTTTTTTTGTTAATAAGCCTGCAAATGTTTTTGGCAGGGCCACTGGGTGTTGATGAAGGTACTGTCGGTGAGGAAACAGGAAATGAAGCCAGCTTGGCAGTTAAGCAAAACTCAAAGCTGAGAATTCAGAACAGTGTGATAAACCTCAAACTGTAAGTTCCTCAGCCTTCTGAGTTACAGATAAAAGTCTTTCAGCAGTTCATTGTAAACCCTTGAAGCAGACATCAGTAACTACCTCTGTTTAATCATTTCATGCAGACAACTTAGATTTGAAAAAGCTCTCAGATCTCTTTCACTTCAATGGAAATGTGTGTTTTTACTCGACAGAAAGCTTTCAAAGAGAGAAAGTAAAAACTGGATTAGCACATTCCTTTCAAAGGTGTTAAATACAGACACCGTCACAATCACCGCAATTTTTGTCAGGCTTGGTAAATCGCAATGCATGTACTAACTTAACTTGTTTGCATTTTCTCCTCCCAGTATTTTGCACGCTAGGGCAGAAATGCCCCATATTGCATATTCATTAAGGCAAACGTACTAAATGGTCAATGCGTGTTGTTTTGCTCATTTGAAAGACGCAATCCTCACTGCGCGCCGTTAGTAGATCAGATAGCACTTTTTTTGCTGGTGGTATCAAGTTTGCACATGTTTTAAGACGCGCAAACCTTTAGTAAATCTGGCCCTTAAACGTTAATACAGTGAATGCACGGCAGCCATTATGTTTCCATTTCGTTATTCAAGACGGATGGTAATAATTGAAAGTGTATCTAAGGGCTATCTTCGGTTGCTTTTCAAAATAAAAATTTTGAGCGCTTCAAGATCTGATCATCACTAAAATGTACGCCATGCACGAGGTTAGTAATCATTTTGACATTTAAGGTGGCTTGATTGAGTCACAATGTCAACTCTTGCACTGAGTTACATGAAAGAAAACTCTCCACACTAAACATTTCTTGTAGCTGTCATATAGCGGCCATAGACTGTATGATAGCAGAGTACTTGACAGCAACTTGACTTCCTTTGTGGCTTATTTTGAGTCGTTTTGGTCAGATTCATACCTCTTACACTCCTGGATTTCTCAATTATACAAGGCCATTATACGTTATGCTAGTTATGACCTCCCCGTAATTATGGGTCGTGCATGAACAACTGTACTGTGCTAAAGAAAACCTCTTTTTCTAACAGTGCCAGGGTTTAAGCAAGTGAAATATGGAAATGATGGAATTGCTCTGTTGATCAAGTATTAGTGATTATCTCAAGGCCCCTTTCTGACAGATCACAGGTTGTTATTGCAAGAATGACTCTGGCAGTTCAGACCAGGTTTACTGAATAAATGCATTTATGTGTTTTGCAAACAAATCATGAAAGTCTGTATAAAAACGAGATAAGAAAAGTCAGGAGCCAGACTGACAGCCCAACTCTGCATCAGCCTTGACTTTGAGTGGTCCTCTGCTGTGTGATACTGTGTTTACAATGGCTCTCTGACTGGTGTTAAAGGAACTTTATATCTCATCTCTGACAACCTTTAAAATACCCTTGTGCTTTGTGCACTCTGTTACTTTACTGAGAAGATTTATGAGGGCAATTCTAAAGAGTAACAAGCCCACAGAAAGGGAGCAGAGTGGTCAGCTCTTTAACCTCCTCTACCAAATTTGATTGGATTTGTCCTTTGTGGTTTGACAAAGACTCTACATGGTTACAAACAAAGGCAGACAGTAGCATCCTTTAATTCACTGTGACTTCAGAGAAGGACGATCCTGACGCATTCTCTGGTTGTACAAAGAATGATGTGAAGCAACGGGTAACTCAATTGAAATCCACACTATAAAGTGCTGTTGTCAGCAGGGAACAGTATATGGGGCTGCATCAGAACACTCTAATAAATACAAAAAGCAGATCAGTCATACGGTGCCAGGGAAATAAAACGGTGTCAATATGCTCGTACATTTTCCTTGAGGAAGGACTTATATCTTGTAAACCAGGAATAATGAATGTTCTTTCAGGGAGGACGATAGTGATACTATTTCAGTCACCAAAACATCACATTTATCTCACTGACTGGATGCTGCTGCTTATTCACAGGCACTCTTGAAATAGCTGCCTATGGCTGTACTGTACATACTATTATGAAACACTGAAAGGCTAATAACATTCTGGGATTTGTGTTGTGGACTTTTGTAATATGGTGACCAGGTTCAGGAACATACTTGTAGCCATAGACTGTATAAACATGGACATGGTCTTAGAGACCTTACCTAATTCTTAAGATACTTTTTTTAGACTGTTTTTTTTTAAGGCTTTTGCCTTCATTGTGATAGGTCAAGTGGATAGAGTGGGGAATCAGGAAAGAGAGTGGGAAATTAAATTCGGGAAAGGAGCCATAGGTCCGACTTGAACCTGGGGCTGCAGCCTCCATATTCTGTATGGGGCGTGACCTAACTGCTAGGCCATCAGCACCCCTTAAAAATACATTTTGAATCCTAACAATGGTAGTCGCCATATTGGAAATGTTATCTCAACCCTAACTTTTAATCACTCTAGAAAAGGGAGCTAAAGCAGTCCTTAATACTTCTTACAAACTTCTTACAACATGTCCACCTGTCAGTCAGCTCATGTCCTTCTTATGTAAATTGATGCACAACTCTTAGCCTTAATATTATCAAAATGGATGAGTTGTAAAAAAAAGTTCATGATGATTCCTTGCTTTTTGCAGGCAGCCTCAAGTGGACAATGGAGGAACTGCAGTCTTTAGAGTGACGCTGCTTTAGGCTTAGATTTACATTTAAATGTCATTATAAATTGATTAAACTGAAAGTCACTGAAGGCGCTAAAGGACAAAGAAAGAAAAGAAAAGTCTAGAAGGAGCATTAAATAAGTGAAAAGTTAATCTTGACTGTCAAATACAGTAAACAGTCTCTATGCTAGGTTAATCCCCCGGCCACAGAAGTGTAACCTAATAAGGAATTACTGAAACCACAAATATATATTTCTTGAAGTTTGAAGCGTTTTTGTATTTAACTGAGTAGTACAGATGACAACATTACATATTCTGGACCTGAAAATAAACCATGAGGAAATAAGCCTAACATTCAGTTACATGAATGCAGCTAAGCTAACATTAGCTCACAAGAAGACATTGTCAATATTTAAGAAAAATCATACAAACAGCCATTGATTATATTATCTAACATAAATATGAGGTTACACAGGGGCAAGAATGCAAATGAAAATTGGGTAGTAGCTCATTCAAAGGTGTACAAAAGCTAATGCTAAACTATAGCTTACTTCGTATGTAGGCCACTAAGAGGAGTATAATTGTTAACACTGTTGAGTTAACTTTCAAAAAGTGCCAACATTTACTTTTGGCACATCTAAAATAAAATAGTCCACACTGAAATATTGATGACATTAAATTTGTGTAATCTGTACAATTTGAAATTTTCAAAGATGGGTTATAAACTTCTTTGACAATAAATCAACCCCAAGGTCTACTTGCTAGCTTCAAAAGCTTCAGAAAGCATTTCTTATAAATTATTTTTTTTTAACATTTCATGAAGTAGAGTAGAATTTTGTAATTCTAAAATTATTTTAGTTGAGGTCTGATGAAAAAAAAACTGTGCTATTGCATTTTTAAAATCTTTTTACATCTGCTTTTTCATCCACTCTTATGATTTATATATCAAGGAGATCTGGGAGTTTTGAAGCTTTCCATTTCTTCTCTTTAAGGCAACTGACAGTGTTTAGAGAGTTGTTTAGTGAGGTTAATGCGATTCAAGTGGTCTCTTAATTTCTGTTGTGTGAGGTCATCCTCGTTACATCTGTGAATTCTTTATATAACGGAGATACACCTCTTCTGACACTCACATTTCTTAAGAGGATATCCTGAAGAAGTCCCTCTCACGGAGCTATTCTCCATTGAATAAATGCACCCAATGTTTTTGTCTCTAATGATGCTTTTTGAAATGTAATTCTGGTGGGGGAAGGAAAACGCTGTTCTCTGTGGATTCAGTAATGCGTCGTGCTAAACATAATGCCCTGGTTTTTCTGAAAGTGTTTCTTCCCACGAGCAATGTCTCACCTTAACATGAGAGAAGAAGGCTCTCCCATGAGGACGATTACCTGCACTTATCATTCTCCCTGTGGAGTCTTTGCGCAAAAACTCCCTCTCAGAGCTGGAGGCTTTACTATTTGTTAATTGCTCTTAAACAGTGACACTTGAGGAAGGAAGTGTTTATTTAATTGCTTGTAAATCTTGATGTACATCTCAAGAGGGGAAAAAAGTAACACCTTGAGTTTCTTAACAACCTCCCAAAAAAAATCACCTGACAATGGTCCTATCTTGCGTTAAGACAACTGTCAAAGCCATTTTTGTGTGTTCAATATATGTGTGTTCTCTGTTGTTATTCCTTGTTGTCACAGTAGGTGGCATATTCACTATGGTGTTAGTGAAGATGCAAGTAGAGGAAGGTGTAATCACTGGCAGGGGAGCAGCCTACCATGGGAGGCACACACTTTTTTGACCGCTGTTGTGAAGTGTAACATGGACTAAACATTTAGCCTATTTTTTTTTTGCATTTAAGTTATCACAGGTACATGTATGAGGATAACCAGAAGATTAATTGGACAATGTCAGATTAAACCTGTTTGAGTGTGACAGCACAGGTTAGTTGACCGATTGAGTTATTGCCACAAAACATGGAAGACTACGCATCAATTAAAGTTAGGTAGGCTATCAGCCCCTCAATGGCTCAAACGTTTAGATTGGCAAAATGAAGCCTCTACAACAGTGATAAAGAAGAGTTGTGTTATTTAACCGTGCAATTATGTGTCGATTTTTATGATACAAACACCCAAAAAACACAGGAAATATAGACATGCACCAATTTGGAACCCCCAGCTAGTTATGGGTTTGGTGCATGGATCAAGAGCAGTACCCAGAACGTAATCTAGCAGCTCCATAGCTTCTAGCCGACCCTCTGTGTTGCAGTGCGATTCATGATGGACCTGAACTGGCAACCCGCACTATGGACTTGGCTACTGTCGCCTCGAGAAAAAACATAATTCAGGCCTGAAAACATGCAACTTGGTAACATTTAGAAGAGAAATATCTTCAAGAAGAAACGTCACTGCTAACGAAAGAACCGTGAACAAGTAACTCATGAATCAAACGTACTTTCAAAAGTATTTCGTTCTGTTATGGGGGAACTAATTTACGGGAAATTATGTGACATATGTTTGCTGTGAGCAAATAAAAAATAAAAAAGCCTAGTGAGACCCCAAGGAAAGCATTTGAAGCACACGATGTGTTTGCCTTTGCACCTCCTCACATTTTGTGTTCTTTGTGTTGTCTGTGACACCTCCCTCCCACAGACAAGCTGCTGGGTTTTTTTTTTCTTCTCCTTTTTTTTTTTTTTTTTTTGGATCTCCTCAAACACGTCTATTTGCATTTTAAACACGTCAAGGAAATGGCTTCCGCCTCAGCTGCTGTCACTGTGTTTGGCAGACAAGGAGGGGATGTCTGTTTATGTGACACTGACAAAATACACCTCGCTGCAGATACCTCTGTGCAGTGTGTGCTACAAGGTACTGTAGCACGGATTGGTGTCACGGAAAGCCAGAAACAGTCGGTGTCAAATCTCAACTCAGACAAATGGGATGTTGGAGATCATATTCGAGATATTTCCGATGATGCTCATGTCAAAACTGTTACGCAACAAAACACACCCGAACATCATTTTAGCATCAATATTCCAATGAATACAAACTGAAGAGCAGCAGCAGCTCTAGTTTAGTTAACTTCAATATTAGAAACACTGCAGCTCAGGCAGTAACTGACAACACTGTGAGCCTCACTGCAAATTATAATGGGGACTTTTCCCCTCGTTTAGTGCAATGATATAGGCTACTAACTAGCTCATTTTGTTTTGATTCTCTCTCCCCTCTCTCCCTCCCGGCTTGCTGGTGCTACACTCGCAGCCCTCTGCCTGCACCCTGCAAATTGGCAGAGCTGCTATGCAGTTTCACAAGAGTGCTGCCGAGCCTCCGTGCTTAATGAATTGCTGAATGTGTTTGCTGTCCTTACGGGCAAAAAAAAAAAAAAAAAGATCCACTGCCGAGTCTCACTAAGCCTCCTTGATTTGTCTTGTTACATTGAGGTTAAACATTTTATTACTTGGGTCTTTTTCCTCCACAGTTGACTTCATTATGTTATCTCTGGGCCTTCATTTGCTTACCGATGTTTAAGGGACACCTAGCAAGTGGAATCTGATTTGTATCCCTTTGGTTTCTCGCTGGAAAGGTGGAATTATACTGCAGTGGAAGGGTTGGCAATACATTTTTTAGTTACTGCGCTGCAAGAATAAAATGCTTCTGTAGCTCTGACTGCCTTCAAATTTGAAAATGGGTATAAAAGAAGATCAAACAAGGACATTTGATTGGTTGGTTACTTGTTAGAATCGGGAAATATGGTTTCCCTAGCACAGGACATTCTCAGTCCAAAGTTTTACAGTGTTGAAAAACATCCCCTCAGTCACTTCTAGCATGGCTGACAGCTGGTATTTGTCAGACATGTTCCTCGACATACCCTTTTCGTCCCGACACTCAAAGAGCTCTTGAGCAGGTCCAGCGAGTGCGTTATGGGAGAACGAATGCAGCCATGTTTTCCATCCTTAGCTGACAATCTCTGACAAGTGCCTGGCACCTACTCTTCCCTCTTTAAACAGCAGGTAGGTGACAACAGCCTGCCTTTGTCTTGTAAGACCAAACTCGGCAGTTGTTCTTGACAGGTAAATGTCTTATGAAACAGTCACAGAATAGGAATCATGGAACTTGTCAGTTAAAGAGGCAGGAAGTGGGAGCTAGCAGCTCGCAGGGAGAAAAGAAAGAAAGGAGTGGTGGTATGAAGATATTGTTTGTGACAGGGAAGAGGATGAGTGCAGCATCATACCTTGTTGCATCAAGGAACCGACTCCAAACCAGAAGCTGTTGAGCAGGGTGAAGTTGTTCTCCACTACGTCTGATCCGGGGTTACAAGGATGGGCGTCGTACCATTCGTAAGGACTGAACCTGGGTATGAGACGGGAAGTACAGAAGCTTTAAGTCCTTTTCTATTGAGATCTCAGAAAACACAGTATAGAATCTTCTTTGTCATTCTGAACACTCTATCTTCTCCTAGAAAAGAATCTCAAAAATGGGATCTGATTTGCTTTAGAGTTATTCTTAGAATTACAGCTTTCTTTTTTAGTTCTGTCTTCCGGGCACCATCTGATATTGATTACGTCTCTAGAAATCCAGCTCTTCTTGCAGAAGTTAAAGCAGAATAATCTGTGGTTTTTTTGGCCTTGGTAAGCCTTTTCCAGTGGTCTTGACTAAATGGGATGATGAGAGAAGTAAAAGTTACACTGAAAGAAAAAAACTGTATACTGAGAGGAGAGGAGAGGAGAGGATGCACTGGATAAAGTGAGAAGTTAAATCATTGTTAATTATATAATATCATTTTGTGTACTTAATAACATACCATATTGATACCAATGTGACCACATATTTTTGCAGTATTGTCATTGTTGTTATTCTTGGTCAAACTATTATCAAATGTCACATAACACATTTTAAAATCAGCTGGTTTTAGCTTAACCTTCAGATAACCCCTTAACTTTTTCTGAAATGCTTCGTACTTACAGGTAAGCAACAAGGCACAAGAGTATGATTTTCAGACTAAATGTCACGTTTGAGAGTTTGAGGCCTTGAGACTCCTCTTGAAGTCGCACGAAACCATAACGCATGAACCTTTCTAAACCCGGTGCCATTTAGTTTGACATCACAAAATGCTGCACATCTTTGCAGCTCAAGTCACCCTCTGAGGCAGATGCAGAGATAAGTCATGCTAAATGTCACTAGCCCCCCCCTCAAATGAATATATTTTTTTATAATATAACAAATGTTTTTTTCTGGCTCTTTATTCTTGGTGTTCTGCTGAGCTGAATTAAACCTCCTGGACTTCTGATAGTATCTGCTTGAAATATAGCATATCTGTTACTTTGAGGCGCTAAAGTAGAAAAGTAAAGATGAAGGAAAGAATAGATAAATGGTTCAAATGGTCCATGCCACTGGAGAACACAATGAGGAACCCTCCAGTGCGTATTCTCAGTCCTGAAGCACCATAGTGAGAACAATCTTTACAGATTAAATTGGCTGAAATGTGTCAGAGATAGATACACTTCAATGTAATTACATGCTGCAGAAATATGTTCTAATATGTCAGCAGTCTATTTTAATCAGACACTTAAAAGGATTCATGTTTAATCTTGAAACAGCTCTGTAATGAAGCCGTTTCCAGCCATCATTCAAGTGTTACTTATCTTACTCAAGCGATCACACTGATTATCTATAAGAGGATGTTTTGCACAGTGTTAGCTTTTGAATTACTAAAGCATCTCTGAAATATACTTGCTAAGATCATGGGGCCTTTGTAACATTTGCAGACATCAGAGGGGCCTTAGGCATCTGTTGTTCTGGGACTCGCCTACCACTTTATTGATAGTCTCGTTTGAAAGCCATGGTCAAATACTTTTAGAATTGTAGTGAAGAAACATTTAAAAATAGGAGAGGCTTTATACACACATCTAAACTGCACACCAATTTATTTCTACCATCGACACTTCAAAAAATGAAGTCAGTGATGTCACCCGTTTGGTCTTATGGAGCCCATTGGGGGTGGTCCCCTTATTGGAAATGCTGTCTCAACCTCACTTTCGATCAGTCTAGAAAAACGCAGAGGTAGAGCTGAGGTGGGCCTTACGCCTCCTCAGGAACGGCTACCTGTCAGTCAACTCATCCTACCTTTGATTATCCAAATGTTTACACTACTTCTAAGGCTTCATCAATTAAAAAAAAACTGATGACATATAAAAAAGTGATTACCCCTGTACACAGTGATGTAGTGGTGTCTGAAGAAGTGGGCATACTCTTAATCTTTCCAAAAATGATTTTTTTTAAGGGTCCCATCCAGCAGAGGATAAACGGCCTCTGCTATTAAGTTACATAAGACTCCTCTTGCATATTTAGTTTGTGCATACTAGCCAATTAGAGACAGAGTAGGGAGGATCATCATACTAGGAATAGCAGCATCCTTCTGTATATTGTCAATCAATCAATGGTGTGAATCAGAGGGGATTTAGAAGTGAGTATACCCTATGAAGAGGGTATAGTCTATATACCTGTGTATACGCTGCACTACACCACTGCCCATAGAGTGTGTACCATTCAGGAAATGAGCTATTGATACCATATTCCTTTTTTCAGGCTGTAACCATGTTATGTCTACTGTTAAAATTGGTATTATATGGGAAATTATGTGGAATCCGGGGTTTTTGCAGCCAGCCTTAAGTGGACACTCAAGGAACTGCAGGGTTTTTTTTTCTTCACATTTTTCAACACCAGAACCTTCCGCTTGATTTTTTACCCTTTTTGAGAGCAAGCAGATTCAATAATCCTTTTTTTTTTTTTTTTTTGAGCTAATGTCTTCAATGGTTGTTCTAGCAGACAGAGCCATATGCTTCTTTGTTGCTGCATGCTTGAAAAAAACAAAACCTTGACAAAGCATCTGCTTGCAGAGTGTACAAGCTACCAAGGCTTGAATCATCTATTTAACATCGGGGGGTTGTGATTTTTAGTGTACACCTTCTGCAACCTAATTCTACAGGGGGGTCATGGGCAGAATCAACCAGAGGAGATATGTGTATACTAGACAGTTAAATTAACCTTTTTAAAGCAATTTGTGTGAGTAATGCTACACAGAATGTTAAGCTGTTGTGATAACAGATGCAGAATAATACATGCTTAATGTACTTTTTCAAGCTGTAACATTTGAATCTATTCTGCAATGAATCACGTCTTCTTTCTCCTTTTCTTTTGTCTCATCACAAAAAAGTAAAAACAACCCAAGCATTAGAATTAGCTTAATATCAGAAATGTCATCACAGATACAGCTATAAAACATTTTTCTTTTTTTTTCCAGCACATCCTCTTTTGTGACTTTACAAAGTAAAGCATGATGTCAAAAAACATTTTAATGCTTATGGCTATAATATCGAACCAAGGTCATGCACTGTAAGTGCAAATATTGGTGGTTGTAGCTAGGATACTAAATATGTGGAGACTGCTAATTTTGTATGAGTTTAAGAGAAAAGGGTAACACTCCCACAGGTGTTTATTCTGCCCTCTGAGTCTGCCTTTCCCCTTTCAACAACAGGGCATGGAGCGAGAAAGCCCGAGCCACCCTTGAGAGGCGTGGTTAACCCAGCAGTTATAACATGTGGTATCAGACAGTATCAAGGTTGCAGACTATTTGACAACCTTAATTTGTAGACAAACACAGTTAAAACATTCTTACAATAAATTGCCTGAAAGTGATAGTTTTTTTTATTATTAGCCCTAATAAAGTAAACAGCACTGGGAATAAATAACAATTTCTCTATTGCATCTGTACAGGCCTGGACAAATATCTTTAACCCTTATATACTGGAACGTTCTCCTTTTGTTTCCATGTAAATACCAGCATATACTTGTTTTCAAAACCTACCTTTATGTATTATTTACCATGCATCGATATAGATTTTGAGTAAAGTGCATTATCAGCTTACATCCTCCTAAATAAGCCTTTTTTTTTTAACATTGAGGTTGAAATACAACAATAGAATTTTGGGACATATTCTGAAAGGCTCAGACGCTTTCAGTGTTTTGTACATGTTGTTTATCTGAAACTGGTGTCAGAATTGTGCCTTTGGAAGAATAACTATAAGGTGCCTTGAAACATAATCATAGTGCTGCAGCAGAGCTTTTGAAAGCCAAAGTGATTTCTGGATAATATTGTTGGTAATGCCTTGACAAGTCCGTCCAACATTCAAAATTACCTACTTGTGCTGAAGTAGCCCACTTATTGTTCACCACTGTCTGTTTTAAGCTCACATGAGGCACTTTTAGCAACTGCAGCTTTTTCAGCGATCTCGGCTGGCCTCCAAAAGAAAAAAAGAAAAAAACTGATGCGACAATTTAAGATGATTTTGTGCTCATGTAAAGCCACTCCAGAGTGTTATTTGGTCCCTTTAAAACGCATGAGCATAGAGGAGTGCAGCTGTTTGCTCTCAAGCCCCAGTACTGCTTTCAGCGCTGGCTTTTTCTAGAACTTCCTCGAGCACCACTTTGCATGAGAAGCAGCAGGAAATACTGACAATAATGCTAACAGGATTTTCAACATATTCATGATGGGGAAAAAAGTGAGATTCTTTTCATTCAATCAATCAGTTAATCTCCATCCATAATCATTTTATGCCAAAAATGTCATGTTTTTTATGCAGATGATTACCTATAAATAGCCTCCTCTGATGCAATTTCACATCAGGTGTATGCACTTTTTTCCTCTTTAGACAGCTCAATGTGATAAGGAAGTCATAATTTTCTGCGTCACCAACTACTTGGTTTTGTTCAAAATTAAAGGTGCATCATTTACAGCCACATTTTCAATTCCAAAGACATCTCAGAAACAAGAAAAAGCACATCAAATGGGACTTTTCAACCCCTCTGAGAGTTTTCTTTCTCCTCCTACCACTGCCTGGCAGTTAAGAGCCCATGCCGACATAACTGCCTTGATTACTACCCAGCAGCTACCACAGTATGAGAAACTGACCGCTGTACTCAGCCTGCAGTGATGACAGAGTAAATTACGATGTCTATTGTCGGACCTCATGGAGGAATGTACGAAGAGCTGCAAGGACAAAAATAGTCTGTAACTTGTGGACTTACCTGGCAATGACAAAAAGGACACAGCTAACCCCCAGGTAAGCCAGGAGGATATAGACCCAGATGTCGGGAGTCATGGGATTGAGGAAGGAGAAGAAGCCGCTGTTGGTGGTGTTGGGTTTGCGGTAAATGATGCTGATGCCCATGTTCATGAAGGGCTTGGAGAAGTCGACGACCTTCTCACGCATGTAGGTGATGGTGAATGGAGCCACGGCCAAGTCTGCTCTCTGAAGAGGAAAAAAGAAAACACAGAAATGAAAGATGTTCTGCATTCTAAATTTTATTTTGGCTTTTCTTTTTTGGAATTATCTGGCAGTGCCTAATTATGAAATTGTTGGTCCAACACTTAAGTTCAGACTGAAACATCTCTGCAAACATGAAAGGAGAAATATGTAACACGTATCATTTAAAATGGGTACTGCAGTCCAAAGAGAGCTGGCCCCCTGCCCTCTCCTGCTCCTTGATGTGCACGCAGGTTGCACATCGAGGAGCAACACATTTGCTAAATGAATTTCAATCGACGTAAGTATTCTTTAAAGTCCATGAAATGAAGAATAAATATATCCTGGTTTCAATCCAACATTCATGAGTTAAATGTTCATTAATTTGCTATATATATTTCAATAAAGCGTCTTCTGAGTATTTCACATCAACATAACTCTATTTTCTCTTCATGTTAAACCTGTCAAATGTCTGATGACTCATCCTGCACTCGGGCGTTTACTAATTTTTCAACCAATTTTAAAAAAAAAAGCTTTGTCGAAAGCTAACGATTCAATCAAATTCACGCTACCGTAAGGTCTCGCCTTTATGTCTTGTGATTGGTTCTCTCCTGTTTTAGTTGGAAATGCGTCACGACTGGACACTCTCGTTACACCGTTTCATTGGTTCTTTAAGTGTTGATAAGCAAGCGGCATCCAACTCTGGAGTCAAATGAAAGTCATCGAAAATGTTCTAATCCGTATGTCAGCAATTTCTATCTTTATCATTAGAAATGTAAAAAATAAGAAACCTCAAAGGACATTAATCCTGAGGCTATCATAGTGATAATATTTACAACATGGAGAGTACACAAGCTGAAAAATATAATCAATTTTTGAATACAATCGTGAAACTTAATGACTAAATTATTTTGATATTTTGTGGTTGTTAAGTTTGTATCTGTAGCCTCCATGATGCTGTTGTATCACTTGCAGTTCCATCTGCAGTATGAAGCCATTTATTTTTTGTGTCGCTACAATGATGTGTAAGTCTCAGTCACCTATTATATGTGTCTGACTGCATATTCAGAAGGGTTACTATTTACACTGGCGGCCCACACATCTCCTGTGCACCACGGCTGGACAGGAGGTTAATGAAACCAGCTGCTTGGTTCACGCTCGGATACCTCTTTCCCTCCAAGAAACGATGCAACACACAAAGGGAGGCTTTCTTTTCTTCCTACGTACTGGGCGGTGAGAGAGGAGCAGGGCTTGGTTCCACTGCGGTTCATGCTACAACATTTTCACCGAGTTCAATGTTTGTTTGGGAACTTTCCGCAAAGGCGATGGACAAAACCTGAAGAAATGTAGTCTGCTGGGTGCGGCTATATACGATACCATAATAAATAAATAAACAACATTAGCTTTTTTTTGAATGATAAATACTCAGTTTCTAGACCCTGAGGCTATTCTTAACATGAATTTAACTTTCCCTGTGGCTAGGACAGCTCTCCTGCCAGATTCCTGTGATAATAGCAGTAAACAAAGTCAGAAAGAAAGCACAACACACTCCTGCGGACAGCCCCACGGTGGCTAAGTACAGGGTGGCCTCTGAAGAGATGGAAAGATGGGAAAACCAATGCATCCCGCTGTGCGTCTGCTGTCTTCCCTAAACTATTCAAATTTGTACATCACATACTGCTCCCTCTGTTCTCGGCTGCCAACTGCAGCTTTGAACCAACCTGCCACTCAGCCGGAAGATCAACCAGCGTGTGATTGCAGACATCCCTACGGTGGGCTAATATACATGCCGCATGTCCTTGTTCTGCTCACTGCTTAGGCAACACAAACTGGGCACGAGCGAGATAACCTGATAGTGCCCCGCTGAGTGCCACATGGCTCAGCGTTATCTGGGTTTTTGCAGATGGCAGGCTTTGTGGTGTTCTCCCTCCAGACCTTCTCACCTGACGACGGCCCGAAGGATGCAGGAAGTTACATCTTATACTATCCGTGCATTTCCATTTACTGACCATGAAACTGAACATACTGGGCATTATGGAAGTTGGATGTTTCTTAGTGACAATAACTGAGCCATTTCTAATTCATTCTTAATTTTTGTATTTTTGTCAAAGAACCGTAAAGGACATTACAACATTTTGCCATCTAAAAAAAGCACAGTGATGACATATTTCTAACAAATTTTTTAAACAACTACACTCTGTGTATGTTAGCTTTAAAGTATGTTTATGCAATTAAAAGCTTGAAATCCCAAAATGGATACGATGATTGATCTTTTTAGAAACATTTCGAGCAGATAGAAGCGCCGTTTCTTTCTGTGTAAACCAGTTTCAATAGCACACTTTGCTTAACTCTGCAGTTGATCAAATATTCATTCATATTTTTGCTAAAGGGAAGATGAGGGAATATAAAAGTGTCTGATTGGCCGCTTGAACGTGCATTTACAAAACCCATGGCGAGGGAATCAGTGCACAGTGTGACACTTCCGCGCACAACAGTACAGATAAGGCTAAACCTTATACAATGAAGTCTGATATCGAATATACACAAAGGGCTAATGATGAAGCATATGCAATGCAATCAAGACGTAGCTGCTTTGCATAAGCAGTGCATGCGGAGCATTGTGGCCTGGAACTGGGGGGGGGGGGGGGGTTCTTGCAGACTGGAAAGACACATTTGCTGCTGAGGCAGTTGAACTTTTGCCCTCACAGCTTTGGGTCAGCCTCTCTCGCCAGCAGGTCACCCTGCTGTCTCGGATCAAAATCAAAATCACACTTGTCCATCCACTTGCGGTTATGTGATTTCCTCAATTACCAAAAACAAAATCCTTAGGAGAGAAAAAAATAGCCCCCCATTCAGACATATTCTACGTCTGGGCTCCGTACAACCTTCCGGTGTATCTGTCGAAGCACTTATTAATTGCCATGACAGATATAAATGATGTGTTAAGCACGCTATTAACATTTGCATCACAGCGTGATTAAAGTGATCATCTATTGTGACTAAATCAAGTTTAACAAGGCCCTGTTGCATCATTTAGCACCTTCCAAACAATGCCCTTTGGGACTGCGGAGCTTTGTTACTGCACAGAGGAAAATAAAGGGCTGTATGTTGCACGGCAATAAATCGTAGCACTTGGCAACATCGCAGTTTCTCATTCACAAACATTAGTTTACATGAGGAGTTTGCATAATAGATCCATAGGCGTCGAAAAAAGTATGCAAGAAAGGCAAAAAAAAAATGATGAAAAACAATGAAGTGACTAATTAGCTTGTTCTTACTGCGCTTATAGTGTGGATGCAAAAGTCTCATATTTCAGCACCATTTTATCAACTACAAGCACATTTGTTTTTCCTGTTTTCCACCTCAGTCTATCTAACTCTCTGACCCTTTTTAAGTAAAGGCACTGATCCCCAGGAAACTGTTGGAAACTTTTCCTAAATAGTATTTTGTAGCATATATAATAGAAATAGGGTGAAAAAACAACGACTGCAGTTCCTTGAGATGGGAAATAATTCTGCTTGAAAGTGTCACCTCAGTGAACAAAGTGCAGCAGTTTGAGGTTTACTCTCAGGAAATTTGTAGCCATATACCGACCTCTCATATCATTCCAGGGTCAGATCTCTTAAGCTTGTCTTAAAGTTTATGTTTCAGGTCTGCTGAATCACGATCAGCTTATCCGTACCCGCAGAAGTAGGGGAAAGCATCAGACCACAAAATAGAGCCGGCTAAAAATCCACAAAGTAAAAGTCATGCGTCCTTGGTCATGCGATAAGGAGCAGTAAAAGCAATAAGTACAGATTCTAATCTGCACTTCTGCAGCTATTTCTAAAAGTATTATACAGCTTAAAGAAACGAGGCTAAAATATAAATATGTACATTCTAAAAGAAAAGCTTTCTTTGAGCGTATTTATCTGCGGATTGAAAATGTCTGGTTGGTGTGTTTGTGTGTGTGTGTGTGTGTGTGTGTTCAGCAGCCTCCATTAATATTCACAGTCAGCTCAGTCTAGAGGTCTCAATCACCAGATGCTACTTCTTCACAAAACACATGTAAACCTTATGTGACAAACCACAACACTCTTTTTTTGCTCCTGTTTGGCTGTAAGATAATGAGAAAGACTCTCTGTGGCCACCTGCACAAACTCTCCCTTTAAATCAAAGAACCGACGGATACAAAGAGCCATGTGCTGTTAAATGCCGGAGTCATGCATCTCCATTTCGTGCCAGCATTCGCTGCCTTTAGTAATCCATTTGTTCCCCTCAAGGTTATTGTTATTAGCATGGATCTCGCAAAAAGCTTGGACGGAGAAATAAAGTGCTGCAGTGGGAGCCCACCTTTCCCAACCCTTTCAGCACCAAGCCATTGACTCCTGCCATACGATTCCCTGCACTAAATGCCACTTAAGCTATTACAAGTTTTCAGCTGAGTACAGCGCTGACCCGATGGGGCTGAGGACAAAGAGAGAGCACTGACAGGGACACTTATGAAATGCCAGCGGAGAATTGCCACCATCACTTGGATGGGAGGCTGTTTCATGGTCGCTGTGGCTTTGAGTTTGACACAGACAGCTGCGATTGCTCACTATATGCTTCACTAAGATGATTGCCTTTGTTTTCTCCTGCACGCTTGCAGTATCTTCCGTGCAGCAATGCTCGTCTAACACCTCTGGCTTATCCAGCTGAGGGAAGTGGTTTGTCTCACTGAATGGCATGGACACACTTGTAACTTTTAGGCAACCTTGGCATAATTGTGTCATAAATGTAACTGACAGCTTCGCAGGCTCATCCCGACTCGTACTCAATCATAACTCTATCACTGCCAACGCAGAGGACATAACCTGCAAGTCAGTTCAATGGCATGCTTTTGTAAGTCTGCCTCGCCATATGAAGCACTTCTTCTGTGGATGAAGCTGCTTAATTGTAGAGAGCCTTAATGAAAAAGACTGATGAGTTTTGAAATACGCCCAATTGCTTTCTTGCTTGGATTTACATGAGAAGATTAAAATGACTCTTCTTTGTAATATAAATATGCAGCTGCAGCTAGCAAGAAATTAGCTTAGTGTAGCATACATTCTGAGAACAGAGGGGACAGCTACTCTGGCTTTCTTCATAAGTTTTTTTTTTTTTTGAATCAATGCATAAGTAATATTTGTCAATTTTATTTTTTTTCCATAGAAACTGCTTGCTATTCAGCATCTAGCAGTTCCAGTGGTGTCCCTTACTAACATTTTAAGAGTTCATCATAGGCCACGGGTGTGTCCAGAGGGATGGCCAAAGGTGGCTTTTTACAAGATTTATGGTTGTGAAAATCTTAAGCAACTAGATATTTGTTACACTATCATTTCTTTAGGCTGTAAGAAAGCTATAATTCCAAACAACTCCACAGGAAAGATGAAAATCCTACAGGACCTTTTGACTGGAGTAAGCTCACCTGACTACATAGAGTGATATTGATCTTCTGTTCTTGCCAGGAATGCAAATAAGCGTATTTTTCCAATATGGCAAACTGAGAAACATACAAGGTAAAACTTACATGTTCGATAAGTTCCCTGATCATGCCGTTCCACTGGCCCTTCTCATCCTGGGAGCCATACTTCCCATCAGGCACCAGGCGGATCTCATACGTGAAGCCCAGGATGTTGGCCAGCTCTTTGAGCAAGTCGATGCAGAATCCTTCGAAGCGGTCGTTCCCAACCAGCGCCTTGTCAGACTTCTTAAGCATGACATATGGCTCCTCCTGCACAGACCCAAAAGAATCAAATGAAAAGCAATGGTGAGGTCAGCTTTTTCAATTTGTTTCAGCCCGTGCATCTAATTGAAGCAAAGTGATCTGAGCTGATGAGTCGCTGTTGCATTTAACAGGCAGTGACAGCAGATTCCAGTTCAGTGTGCGGATACAGGGAGTGTTAAATTATGAGAGAAGGCTGAGATTTTTCCTACATTGATGTATTAAAGAAAGGAGACGTGAGCTAATTTAGGACTGTAATGTAAGGGAAGGTCTTATAAGATGTAAAGCTTTTGCTATTGTGTACCACAGAATGAATTTAAATAATATTTAATTTCCTGCAATGTCAAGCTAGCAAAACCCCATACTGCTGCATGTTGACCAATATAGCTGGTGGTGCACAGGTCTGTTGATTTTATGGTCAGGTAGCTGACACCTTTTACTGGCCTGTAATGTCCTGCCTGGCTGCTTATAATTTGGTCTGTATAAAAGCTTGATTAGGAACAGAATGCGGCAGTGAAATGGAACATGCCCACATCGTTTCCTCCATCAATTGACACCAACCTCCAGCGGAGAGTGACAGAGCTGATGCCCGCAGTGACAATGACTAACACAGAATAGCTCATAAATGATTTCCTTTATTAAGTGCCTGTTACCATTCCCCTTCCAGATAGACTCGCAGATCCTGCTGTGTATTTCAAACCATGTTGGTCCATTTATGCAGCTGCTGTAATGCGATTTATTGCCGGCAATAGCCAGACGTATAATTTAAAAAATGAGCTTGCGAGCACAGTAATTGATTCTCTAGTGAAGGTGACCCCTTGCATTTGTCTGTTTTTTTTCCACTAAGTAAATAGATACGGTCAAAGTGTAGAAAATAGGCAGTCACAGTCCTCTTTATTCCCTCAGGAAATTGTTTTTCATGGTGGACACATATATATACACACACACACACACACACACACACACACACACAACACACACACACACACACACACACACACACACACACACACACACACACACACACACACACACTGTTTGCTTAGGTGAAAGACACACAAATGGCGGTATGTTGGCCGTTCAATCTCTAACTCCTTCACTCTTCATCGGTGGTGTTCAACCTTTTCTGGTCACAACCCCCAAGAAAAAAAACCTGATGATCCTCCTCATGAAATTTATAAAGCAAAACATTTTTAAGAATTCATAGATTCAGGGGGCGCGCTGGTGGCGCAATGGTTAGGGCGCGTGTCCCATGTATTGAGGCTCTCGTTTCGAGCGGGAGGCCCGGGTTCGCTTCCACCTGTGGCCTCTTTCCGCATGTCATTCCCCACTCTCTCTCCATGGTTTCTGGCTCTATCCACTGTCCTATCTCTGTATTAAAGGCATGAAAAGCCCAAAATAAATCTTTTAAAAAAAAAGAATTCATAGTTTATGGTCTTACTTTAGGTAAAAATATATAAAGAAGGACAAGGCTTACAGCAGCAACCCATGCAGCCATTGACAATACTATAAACGTAAAAGTCACTGGTGCAGTATGGAAGCGATTAGTGATCAAAATTCAAATGATAAAGCTAATTTGAAAATTCAAATGCATTAACAGAAATGCTTTATAATTTTCAGAATATGAGTGTATGATTTGACTCAAAAATAAAATGATGATTAATTGATCTATTTTGAATTTTAGTTTTCAACTTCAAAAATACACATTCTTTGACTAAATTAAAATGAAGAAGAAAATGACATTTGCTTTATCATTTTCCAAAAATGCCCCGCTAAATTTATATCATAATTCAAACTGCACGTTCTGCCCGCTCGCCTCATAGACTGTAAATATTACGTTCGCTTGCCTGGGAGCTGGAGTCACTTTCCTGCGCCATCCACTTTGCCATTTCGTTTTCGAGTTGGTTTGAATTATGATCACTTTTTAGCACGGCAAGTTTGAAAACGAAAAGCCAAAGACCTTTTCCTTTTCATTTGAATTATGTCATACAATATGCATACATAGAGAGTAAAAGTATAATGCAAACTGGATGACTGAATATTCATTTTAAATATAGGTCAAATAATGCACCTATAATCTGAAAATTAAAACGTGTTTCTGTTACTGTATTTTCATTTTAAAATTAGCTTTTTCATTTGAATTATGATACAAATTTAGCGCGGCATTTTTGGAAAATGATAAAAGCAAATGTCATTTTCTTCTTCATTTTAATTTAGTCAAAGAATGTGCATTTTGGAAGTTGAAAACTAAAATTCAAATTAGATCAATTAATCATCATTTTATTTTTGAGTCAAATAATACACTCATTCTGAAAATTATAAAGCATTTCTGTTAATGCATTTGAATTTTCAAATTAGCTTTATCATTTCAATTTTGATCACTAATCGCTTCCATAGTGCAGGTCCTATGATGTTTTATTCACTCGTGCCATTTTTTTTCTCAACAACCATCTGGAGAAAAATGATCTCTCCTGCGTGTTGGGAGCCTGAGGTTGAGAATCACTGCCCTACATGACAATGTATATTTTGGCAAAGTATTTAATCCCATGTTGCTACTGAGGCATGTGTGAATGTACCAATAAATTAAAGGTGTTTCATGACATTGGCATTAGTGCACTGAGGTTTGTGCAAGGGTTTTAATGTGGTCAGAAGTATTCAAATTGAAGTCTACCATCTAACACTAATTTACTGGTAGAAAATAGCGTTAAAGATCAACATCTTTAATTGTTTGCAATGTAGAATTGAAGCCACTTGGACATTACAATGCAGGGTGGCCCTTTAAATTAATTCTAAGTTATGAATACTTGATGACAAAGCATTCAGGGAGAAAGTGCTTAGCCACAAACTTTGCTCAAGTTGTCCAATTAACTTGATCAAAAAGTTTGCATGTTAAGGGAAAAAGTCATTACCATCTGTTTCCAGCCTCCCAATTCTTTCTATTCCCCAAGGTTTGGACTCAAATCAAAGTGTTTATTCCAGTTCTCCCCTCGCAGTCGCAGCATGGGCGTGCATAACAGAAACGGGGAGGGAGGTGGGCTTGCACAGAGACATCGCAGGCAATGGAGTGCAAACAATTAATGTAAGTAGGAAAACACATTAAGGGGCGCCTTAATCTCTTCAACAAAGTTATCACGATAAAGCTGTCAGACGTCTCGTTCATGCATCACTGGAATCAGTTTGATGCAATGTCATTACACTAAGAGGGGAGATTGATATTAAAGTTGAAACTCTCTTCTGCGATGGGGAAGTAGGCGGTTTTTATCATCTTAAACTAATGATTCCAAATGAAATGGCAAATGAAGGAACATGTCAGATATAGTCAAATGCACTTTATGGGCGGAAAAAAAAATCATCTTAAAAATATTTGGAAACTTGAAAATATTTGAAACACTCAAGAGAAAGTCATCCACATTAACAGCACTCCAACACAACTCAGCAAATAGTGGCACTTTGTAGTGCAGTGGTTCAACATCACACCACTTAAATCCTTGTTCCATTTCTCCCCTTTGAGACAGAATTAACAGAGATGATGCCTGATAGGCATTAATTATGTTCTGCCTTGACCTCACTTGTCATCATTACAGCCTTGGCGTCCAACATAGGCATGATGATAGTGTTTATCTTTGTAGCTTGTGTATCTGCTCTGAAAGACTCTACAGGGGGGCGCCTGTGTCAGCACCGACAGACGCCGACATCCAGTGACAGTGTTAAGGGGGGGGGGTTATGTAGTCTTCTCTATCTGTACATGTAATTAATGCATTCAGGGAAACATTTCACTGTCCCTCACTGCTTATTATTCTCCCCCCCTCCATCATTCCTGCTTTAAAAAAATGGTGATGTCACTTCTGTGGCATCTGACACTGATAATTGTCTGTTAGCTAACTCACTGCCCCCTCAGTTGCTTAACCTGTCACGACTCCTGCACAGCATACATGTGCAGTCAATATAAACGGATATTTGAAGCATGAAGGTCCTTGATTTTTACAGTAACTGACAGTATAGGAGGCTTCTGATTTCTAGCTGGTTTTCAAATGTTATACTTTTATCCAGGTGCTCCTAATTTGACTTCACAAATATTGGTGAAAAAGTTTACATTGTTGAAGGGAAAATTTCCCGAAATGCAATGAGGAGAGAACCACTAATTTGACACTACTATAGCCTAAGTGACTTCACCAGTCTCCACATTGGGGGAAAAACACAAGCTTTTTTTTCTTGTTAAAAACATAATAGTTAGTGTATCCCTAACAGCCTTCTCTTTTTCCTCCGTCACTATGTCTGTGCACTTCCTGTATGCCAGAAAATTCACATGATTCCTATGTGACCACAAGCCAATTAGTTCCATTTAAAGCCAGTGTTGCTATAGTAGACCCATTCACACCATAACAAAATGTTGGGGAGTCCAATGCTGGATGGGCTAGCCAAGTCCAGGTACAGTTGCTGAGCTGTGAGAGACAATCTCTGGGTTCAGTGAACAGTCAGTCATAACACAGAACTTTACCTAACAGGATGTCTATGATATTTTAGAGCTTTGTTTAGAAACTGGAAATATCTCGTGTACATCACAGGGATGAGAAATACAAACACTTCCTCAATGCTGCATTTTATTGTTATTAATTTGGCTGACATTTTTATCTCTACTCTAAAATGAGTATCACTGCTAGAGCGCTCAATAAACAAGAGTGAAGCTTGAACTTGGGTGTATCATATAAAGAAGAAAACAGAGGCCAGAAGGTGAGGGCATCTTCACACCAGGCTACAAGTGACCTACCAGGATGGTGGTGACGACCAGGGAGCGGTTAGCCAGGGAATCTGTGATGTTCATCCCTTTTCGCTTCGGCGCTTCTGTGATGTTAAGACCTCCGGATGCACTCCACTTCCCGACCTGAGCAAGATATAAAAAAAGAAAAGTGTGTTGCTGAGTGTTCTGTGTCTGTTGGTGGGCTGTGACCCTCACACATTCCCCACACCAACCAGTCTCCCACATTAGTGCCAGGTTGAACACATCTCCGGCAGCATTAGATGATGGGATGAGTCACCTTTGTACCAGCAGGCAGGGTTGTTTTTTTTGGAAGACAAGATGGTAGCTGAGTTGATGTGTGGAAAGAAATCAAATATGACGGATGACTGAAATCATTTGATATATGTTAAATGTTTAAACAATAGACATAGTCCTATGTAAGGTTTTCAAAATGTTCAAAGCTTCAGCACTTTTTGAAAAAGAAATGATCATAGTATCAAAGTATTGTAGCTTTAAAAAAAACCTCATGATCGTCAGTCATATTTTCAACCAAAAGAAGTGAGCAAAAGAGAGAGCACTATCTAATAGGTCTGTGCATCTTCACTTGACTCACGATTCGATTCGATTATGACTCTCCTGTCGATATCACGATGCCTCACGATGGATTGCATCCTCAAGTTTCTACTGCACATGGCTACTTTTTCATCAAAAGCAGCAAACACTCAGATATGAACTTTTTTTCTTCTTTTGGAAAGTTCTTTTAGAACTCAATGTCAACGTTAATGTCTTTATATTGTAAACCAAAATAATTTCATTATATAGGTCCAGCTGCGGATGGAAGATCTACAGTCAACGTCCGTACCCAATCCTCGATGATCAGTGCATCAATGCAGAATCGTCCACATCGGCATCGCCATGCAGACGTAGACACTGTAAGTCAGGTCTACAGTAGATAGAAATTTGGTAACCAACATTTGTCAACGTATCTGTGCAGTTTAGGCAGTGTGCAGGAGTGTGGGGGTCACAACCCACCAACAGACACAGAACACTCTGCTTGCATTTTTTTGGTCACAAAAACATTAAATTGCCCACTATGGGCACCTAGGACTTGCATTTTTGTTTCTGTGGTATCAAAAAAGGTATCTATACTGACTGATTTACACTAGCATCTTACTGAAGTTTTAAAAATATGGTATCGTAAACAACAGATGAGAAGATGTCTGATCCTCACATATAGAGAAAAAGTGTTTACAAAAGATGTAAACCTCCTGTATCACTTTCAATTGTCTTCAAACTCAATATGACAACAGCTGGAAGAGAAAGTTGAAAGAAAGAAAAGCTTCAGTTTAACTCCTTAGCGTCAGAAAATACAAAAGCAATTGCATATGGGGTTAAACTGCAGAGCTAAAAATAAACACAACGTTATGAAAGTATTGCAAGCAAGTTGCATTTAATTTCCCTGACGATACAGGTTTGCCAGTTGGATTTCATTGTTTAAGTCATTTTTCTCCGCAGTCTCAGCGAGATCAGCCAAGAGATTTGAACAAATAAAAGGAGTTATGCATGCGAGGAGCCTTCAGGCGGAAAAAGCTCTGCATATTGTACAGACACACTCTGGAACATGTCATTAGCACAAATAGTCCTGTGGCTGTCGGTAACAATCTCTGTTTGCAAGTCAGGCCCTCCGCTAAATCCTCCTCCCATCCCTCCTGCCTGCTCTATTACAGCCGACACACACATTTTAATATTCACAGGGGTTTCTGCTTGATGTGGATCTATTCAGAGACAGACACGACCCCCATCTAAACACACACACACACACACACACACACAAAAAGCTTGAAAACTTCTGTAAATGTCCTCCCTGCCTGATTCCGAGACAGGCATATGCTCTCATTTGAAAAGCACATTAGTAACAGCTTGTCACACAACCAAAGAGAACTCCAGGAAAGGGATTTAAAAATATCTGTGAATGCTTTCGGCTTTGCAAAATTCTGTCTAATTGGACCCAATTACAATTAGCTCAATTCATTAAACATGATTAGCGCAAGACTTCAACCAAAAGTTACTTACTCATGCAGCCACACGGAGAGCATGGCGTGCATTTCAGACTCCTTAACATGCCGCCATTGACTGAAAGTGTCACCCCGAGAAACCTGTTATACCGTGATTCCAGAACGAGCTCAAACTTCGGCTAATATTCAATTACAATGGATTAGCTCAAAAAAAGTCCACATCTTAACCAGCTCAAGCAGTTAAAGCCGATTCCACGGATATACAAGAAAAGGGAGAGGAAAAAAAAGGGAATCCAGCAATCCGCGGCACGCTGAAGGATCAACGTTTACATGCTCGAGTGTAGGATTTGTCGGCGTCACAATGAGAGGAAGCTAATATGTCTTCAAATACTTTTGCAATAGGCTGCGCTTCATCTTAATTGACCGCATGAAAGACAAGATGCCAGCGGGGGAAAAAAAGAAGAAGAGACAAAGCAGCAGTGTTGCAAGCTCCATTGGTGAACAGAGGGGTTACAGCTGGAAATCGCCTGCTATTATATAGTGTTGAGCCTTTAGGGAGTACTTGAGGAAGTCATAATGGGACTTATCCCTATTTGATGTATTCATAATGTATGAAAGCCCTCTAGTAGAGGAAAGCTGTTATAGTCCAGAGGGGGCTTTGCCTTCCAGTATAATAAAATAAGTTCTTCATTACCAACCTTTTAGTCGTCGTCCCCCCCCTCTCTTTTTTTTTTCTAAAACATGTTTATACAGCTCATTACCACCAAACAGCATTTTGGGCATCACCTCAAATTATCATTAGGAGAGGCTGCAATTAACACCCTAATGTGTACCCTAATCCAATTTGCTTTATGATCCACTAACTTATGCTTATGTTGAAACAGCCAATTTGCTTCCTTGTTAGGAGGTAAATGATACTGTCAAGTTTGCACTATCAGCTACGTATCGAGTGGGGGTGGGGGTCTCAAAACGTATTTAATGAAATCAATACTGCATTAAAATGATTTTCATGGTTCAGTCATCACAGAGTATCTGCTTCAATGATGCACTGCAACACTGCTTTTATTATTACATCTAAACAAAGAAAGCAATGAAAGCGAAGACAAAAGTGACCTTTTCAAGTCCTTCCTCTTTCAGACTTATGATGTCCAGGTCGAAGTCTGTGCGCAGGCCGGTCGTCTTGTTGAATGACAGTCTCCCCGTCAAGCCATCCCAGTGAGACTGGAAGAAAACACATCTGCATATTTACATTTTTCAATCACAATTGTTCATTAAGTTTAACATTAGAAACCTTTTCTGGTGAACTAGAACACTGCGTCAGTACAAATCATGCTATGGAAATTATCTTCTTGTGGGCTTCTTGATTATGTTAATGTCTGGGCTCTAGTTACCATTTCATCATAGTGTTAAGTTAACCCAATATTTGGTGACACTAATTGTCCTTTACCTATGTAATGTGTGTAACAAAATATGTGGAAGACATTACAAGAAGACAGAAATAACAAGCAAATAGACATAAAAGAGCAATAGCTGCATATACACAACAAAAACCACACCCTTAATAATTCAGAACAAAAGCGTAACCATCCCCCCCCCCCCACACACACACACAGAGCGAGGCAGCATTTCCTTTTTGAAATTACATTTTACATCTCAACGCCTCCAACGCATTTGCCCCCCCCCCCCCCCACCCCTTCCTGACTGTGGAGTTAATTAACAACCATCTCCTTTTGTTTAATTCCCCATATTCCCCATGAGGGGGGAACAGCAAAAACTGCCCCTTCTAATGATTCCCTGATCCCCGCCACGTCCTCTACAGGCCTGTTTATGAGCAAACACAAAGCAGTTTTTGACACACCCGTGTTCTCATACTTTCACTAATGTAGGTAGCTGCTTAATTTGCACTCATGCTTTTTTAGTTTTTTTTTTTACTGTATCTGATTGAAGCCGGTGTTTAATGAAGTATTTGTACTATATGGCATGATCAACTATTTTGGGAGGAACGTTTTTCTTAGATACCATGCCAAGATATGTTTTTATCTTATTTATTGACTCTTCTGTCTGGTGTGAGTCATAAGTCAGCCGTCAGTCACAGTAAGATGAAGGCACTTATTCTATAATAAGTCCTGTTACAATGGCGTAATCAATCCCTATGTGTCATTTTGCAGCACCAAGCTGATATGTAAAATCCAGACTGTGACAACCTCTCAGGCTATAGTTTGCATCTGTCTCCCCTGAAGCTTGCCAGCAGAGATCGGAGCTTCAAGGAGAAATTTGTGGCGCTCTCCTTTTCCAAACCCCCTCACACCTCATTCCATCTGGCCCATCGCCACCGAGGTGGGTGGCATGTTCAAACAGCTTTAATTCAGAGAGTGACATAAACGCCTGAGCCACATCACATCCAGAGGGCCAATTCGACCTTCAGAACATATCAGACGCCTGTCTTGAAGAGAGCGTAAATCAGGCCTGAGTAAGTGTTTGTATAACAGAACACCGCAGTATGTGTGTGTAAGGACAATGTAATAAGATTTCAGTAGCTTTAGTCAAGATTCAAATGGGACAACTTGTTAGATTGCTGACGCTGCTCACTCTTTAAACTGATTCATACAGTGTGTACCTCACACACAGTAGACATTGTTTGCGGTATGTTGGAATGCTTAGTCTTTATGATACTGTGTTTGCACATTTGGCAGACATGCATACGTTGTTGCCAGAACTCATTCACAAGAGCTCATGGATGTTGTGCCAGACGAGGATGTACAGCTGAGAAACACTGTAGTATGTACCGTCAGATTGCAGAACACATTAATAGGAAGTGAATGGTTTAAAACGGCCGTGCACTCACGATAAGGATACAGTAATGAGGTTTTTCTTGTTGATTGGTCAGTAGAAATAAATTGTTAGAGACTGTAGTTCAAGTCTCCAAGTACAGGAGAAGTGTTCCAGCAGGGCTGTAGTTTGGACCCCTAATATTTGGGCTGTCTTTGAACATTGGATAAAAAAAAAAAGTTTGCTGCCATATAAGAAAAAAACTGGCTTTTCTTTTACAAAGACGCTGCCTGCTGGAGACAACCCTTGGAGGAGCCACAAGCTGTGGCCTTTAGAAACCTCCCACTCACTAAAGCTTTCTTTCAAAGCAGATGCTTTGGGGGGGAACAGAAGGTTATACTATTTCTCCTTTAGCGCTCAGATTCTGCCCCTCTTTGGCACTTAACTTGGCTGCAAGTCAGGCCATCAGTTAGCCTATACCACATTCTGGTACCCAAGACAGGAAGGGGAATAGCCACTTATACAATGAGTTTGGGGTCACCCTGGGTTCTCTCTAATCAACCTGATGGACCACATGTGTACACTCTTTACTATCTATACGCTTAGGTTAAGTTTCAATGGACCTATAATATGTGATGGAACCTGCTAACCTATAGCTATCTTATTGGAAGCAAAGTGTCAGCCAAGCAATGGCACAGTATGATAAAGGGATTATGTTTTTGGGACATTTGAAGGTGGCAACCCAAGCAACAATGGTCGCCAAATCTGACTTTGACCCTAGAGCCTCATATTTTTGGTAATCTTTCTCTCTTTAGCATCTCTAACTATTTTGGATTCACATCGAAGTCCCACATGTGTTTAGAAAATATATTGCTGAACAATAAACACAAGTTTGGCACAAAGCAAACTTGGAACTAGTCCCAAATGATGCTAACAAGCTTTTGCATGGATGGTCAACCATGGCGACGTAGCATGGACAAAACCTTTGGACAAAGGCAAGGGTACAGAACAGAAGTTGTCATCCATTTTGCTAATGAAAAGTGGTTGAGGGAAGAGGTTTAGTTCTGCCCTTTTATGTGGACAGCCCCCCCCACAACCATCATTCAGATTGCTCTGTGGGAATATGCAAATGTATGGGCAGTTACCACAGAGGAGGGAACATGGTTAGAGGGCAAAGCCTGTGCAAGTACAGTGCATTAGATCCAGGAGGTTAACATTTTAATTTTAGAATAATTATTTATTATGATTATAAGAGGGGAAACAAATGGAATTCCAGCTATTTTTAACATTTCTGAACCACACCTATTACTAAAACAAATAATTTTGTTGTTTGAACGATAAAGAAACAAACAGGCGTATCTGCACACCCTTTATCTGCTATTTCTTCACAGCCTTGTTTGTGTATTTTGAGACACTGTCAGGCTCTCATGTTAGATTAAATAACAGCCGATTACACTAGTTGTTCTTTCAAAAGGTTACAGTACGTGCTTTCTGGAAAATAGGTTATGAAAACAGGGATTTTATCAAGCTGACAACAATGCTGCTTTGATGTGTCTATCAAGGCTTGCTTGGCTTCGTATGTGGATATGATTGATTTGCTGTGTAAATATCTAAGTCCCTCTCACCCACACAACCCTCACTCCACTCCTTATGTTGTTGTTAACCCCCGATATGCCCTAATACCATTCCATAGCGACAGGCCAAAGGTGCCCCTTCACCTCTTTGATGAAGCTCATGAAGCGTCCTCCGAATCTCCAGGGTTTGTGGCGGTGGCACTGCAGCGAGTTCACCGTCATCTGTGGAGCGTGCTGGTATGAGACGGACACAATGTGGACCGCGTCATAGGTCAGAGCTGCATCTGTCTGGAATAAGGGGTGAACATTATTTCAGCTGATGCCTGTGGAAAGACAAAAATAGTTTCCCCATCAATCTAACCTCCTGACTGTTACAATATTTTTCCAGCTCATTCAGATTGCTCTTAGGGAATACTCAAGATTTGAAGTTTGAGGCACTTAAAGGAAATATACCAAATTCCAGATCATATAACCTGGCTACGTAGATACATTTGAGAAAAGCTTTGCATCCCTAATCCTAAAGTTTTTAAGCCAGTTTCAGCACATTTTGTGTTTTGAACCGATAATTTAAAAAAAATAGCTGGTTTGTCTTGTTTATATATAACACTCATGCATTAAGTGGCTTCAAACCACATCAGATATTTTTATTAACTTACTTTATACTGGTTTATAGTGTACAAAACCTCTTAATTCATTTATTTTGAGCGTAGAAGGTCTGTTGAAGTCTGTGGTCAGCCTGTGCTTTTGCATTAGCATAATTGCTAACTGTGACTGTAAATTTCCTTTTGGCACATGTTGCATCATTGATTTAGATGAGGAGATGAATGGGGGCTTTGCAATTGTAATTTCAAATCATCATTATTTGGGACTGGAACATTAGCAGACATCTGGCATTCACAAAAGAATAGACTGAAAAGGCTCCTCCTGAGTTTGGTAAATATAGGGTTAGAATTTACAACACGAGTTGGACCTTCATCACCAGCCAGCAATTAGTTCTAAGTCGGGGGGGTTTTAAATAGAGCCCATTTCTGGCACACTTCTTACCATCCATTAACACCTGTGCAATGATGAGCATGTATTTCTCACTCTACATTCATTTATTGATAATACTAGTACACAGTATGAATAATCCTGCAGAAGAGCCCAAAAGTATGGAGTCAGCAATGCTGGAATCCTTAGTGTGTCTTTATGACATAATGAAGTGTCTAGATTATTGCTTTTAACACATTGCTCTGTCTTTATCAAATGGGCTATGTTGGGTTTAATTTGTAGACTGTGTGCACCGTTGGAGTAAATCAGAGGAGCTATCACAGAGAAACATATTGAGACAGTGAAGCATTATCCATAGCAAACTATGCATTCGAAACAGATTGGCTGTAAAGGGATGCACCTGGTCAGAAACAATGATTAGGGAGACTCGCTCGTTGGAAGAATAATTGGTGTGAAATGGCTCAATGAATGTTCTCCAAGCCATTACATCATCCCCATCTGTACGATTGAAAGCATAATGGATCACCTGTAGAGCTGAGCTATTCTTGCCAATATCTGACCCAACAACATGCCAGAACAAGGATTTTTCTGAATTTTCTGAGATGGAATGTTTCTTCTCTACACTCATTAATGTTCAGGCATCACAGCTCATTTTGCTCATTTGATGAGATTGAACAAAAAATTAGCTTGATGCCAGATACGTCTTTTCTCAGCCCCCCTCTTTACCTACATGGGTTCAATATGTCTAATCAGTACTGAACTTTCAACACAAGAGCCATGACTATTTATGGGAAACGGGGGTTGCATATGATCCCGGGACAATAGCTTTTCATACTGGCTGAAACTAATGATTTTACTAGCCAACTGGTTTCATAGTGTGTTTCATGGAAATTTTAAATTAGACTAGCTCACTAGCCAAAGGTAATAAAACAATCAGAAAACAGTGATGACATACAGTACAATTTTGCTTGTTTACATCGTTGTTAGTAGAGCGGGGAGAGCAGGCCCATAACTCGGAGCTAACACCAGTCTCAAGGTGCCTACACAGCCCAAAAATGTTAATAATTAATATAAAAGTAGTAACTAGTTATTCCAGTGCCGAATAGAGGGTGATGACATTTAACCGCTTTGTCGACTAAATGTGCACATCCCTAGCTGAAACCACTTACTAAGTGCCAATGGTCATAGCACTTTTAAAATCACTTAAAATATGTATCTTCCCAATTAAATATTTAGGTGTGAGATGAACCTCTCAACACTAATGTCATACTTGATACAGTATTCATATATGAGCCACAGTATGAATAACTGAGTTTGTAAAAATCTGAAGGAGTACAAGATGAGAGATCAAAGTAAGTTGAAAATAATTACTGAGGTTAAAGTTACGGTTAAAGTGAAAAGCCTTTCATAGGAAGATGCCATGGTTGAGAGATTAGAGAGACAGATAGATAAATGCGGTGCCTGTATCTTGGCATTGTGACGCCTTACTTTAATAGGTCCAACACACGTAATAAAACATACCGTCATGATGCCCTCAAGCAGGCCTGAGCCCGGTTTAAGAGGTAACTGCCTCTCCAGCGACCATTTCTCCACGATGGATGCGACCAGGGGATTTTCCACATTGAGGATGCGGAAGCCGGTCATGTTGACCCCACAGAAGCGATATGGTTCCAGGTCGATGGCCATCAGGTCCTTTTTGAGAGACAACAGTAATGAAGGATGGATTCTCAATAAGTCTGGAAAATGAGCATATTTGTTTTTATACTAGTGGCTTTCTGCTCAGATGAAAACACAATGATGCAGATTAAACATGCACTATATTAAGACAGAATAAAGTAAAAAGGACGAGAGGTGCAGTAGTTTTCAATGTCAAAACAGGAGATTTAAGTGTTGTGTCTGTAGCATTGTTTGAGTAATAAATGCCATCTAAAAAGCTCAGGCGGCAGAGTCACTTTCTCCCGGTAAATCCTTTTAGAATTGACAAATTGTTATTGTTTTTGTTTGTACCTGCATGATAATGAATTATACCATGCAAAGTACAAGCTTTTAGCATTTTGTCTTTCTAAATTATGTTTATGTTTAAGAAACTTTATACTGTAGGCGCAAATGTGTTATTTTGGGATGTTATAATTACTGTTTGTAGCTTGGAAAAAAATTTAAGTACAAGAAGAAAAAAAAAGATCAGTTCTGTTGGATTGCATAAATAATTCAACACTCGCATTCCCTTGGCAACTTCCAAGCAAAAAAAGCAATTCAATTTGAGCGGCTGTAATTTCTAGGGCAGCCATTGTAGCTGAAGTGTGAAGTCACATGTTGACACATGTCGTGGTGAAATGGGCCAGGGGGCTTAGAAAAGACATTTGGATGAACATAGATATTTCATTAGCACCCTGTGGGGTTAGTGCTGCGGGAATGAGAGCGTGTAAGACACTTACTAAAGAATGGTTGCCGCCAGTCACTGAGATATCTCTTCTCTTTCCCACCAGAATGCAGTACAGTACTCTCTTTTATGAACAGAGATCAAAGTAAATCTCTGTTGTTCTTCATGACATTCAGAAATTGCTCGGAAAAACTAGATCAGGTTACAAGTTTTTCCAAAGCTTTGAAGCTAAGAATACAAACTAACTGGGACAGATTTGTTTGTACGGATATAATTCATCTTTTGTGACATCCTCATTTATATCACGGCATTTTTTTGGGATGTCAGCGAGGCGACTTGTTCCAATTATAAGTTCACTTTTTTTTTTCTCGCAGCACTGCCTTGTGCACACATCTATTGCGCAAAATCAACATAATCCTACGACGGCATTACACTGAAATCTTTACCCTGAGAACATGCTGAGCGCATACAGAAGTGGTTTGGAGGAGGTAAACACAACAAAGTTCTTAGCTTTAGGTGGCTCGGAGATAGCTACTGTGAGGCGGGGAGCTATGACAGACTCATTTCAAAGGACAAGGAAGTTATTACCCCACACCACTCGGCTGTTGCCTTTTCACGCTCTAATAAGTCGGCATTTCACCTCACCTCGGAAGATAAAACACAGACATCAGTGGATTCCATCGAGAGGAAATTGTATCGCCATGTACACCGCACAAGTATTCATCATTTTGGATCAAATCAAGCCGCCAGGTGTAATCTCTTTAATGGTGTGTCTATCAATATGACAGCAGCGTTGGAAAGATACCCCACTCTTGATTCTATACAGATATCCTGCCATCATGTGGAAAATATTGTTACAGAAAATTGTGTCAAATAAAGTTGATCCTTTAGTAAATATTTTCTGTTCCATCCGATCTCAAATTGTCACGCATGAACCAGCGCACTGGCAAAGAAAGGGAGTAAAGGATTTTTGTTTTCCTCCATTAAAGCAATAGACGTGCAACACAAACAAGAAGCATGGCAGACCAATGCCATTGCCACGCTGTTGAGCGTAAAAAGATGACACACATCACGCCTGAACCTTCAGTGTCATATCACATTATGACAACAGACCGGCCGAGTCCGGAGAGACAGCGAGTGTGTGTGTGTGTGTGTGTGTGTGTGTGTGTGTGCACAAGTGAGGCAGAAGCAGAGACAATAACAGAGAGTGAAAGGAACAGCACAGATCATGCTGGTATTCACTCCCATTCAGTCTGTTTGTCACCAGATAGCAAACGTCTCAGTGAAGAGCAGCAGCGGCTCCCTGCTGGGGCTGCTTGTGTTAGTCAGAGAAGATCATTTCTGCAGAGTGGGAGCTGAAAATGTTCAAGATGGGAGTAAAACTATAACATACCCAGGCTGCATTAAGCATGCCTGACACCGAAACAAAAACTTTGAGCCCTGAAAATTCAAGAAATTAGTCTTAGTAGACTTAATTTAGCGTTGTTTCCTGTTTCATTTATTGGGATACATCAGAGGATATTTGTCGTGTTTTTATTGATGTAAGTGAAACTTGAATCAGCAGTTAATGAATTCCAATTAAAAGCCTTTAATTGAATTTCAGGGTTATTTGAGGTTAGATTCATCGGTCTCATTTTGCAGTTGGAGTACTTTTCCTTTTTTTTCCCTCCAAATTCTATCCAATTTCAAAATACTGTATCACATTTATTTTAACTGGATACTTAAATACTCCCAAAAAAAGGACATATAATTAACATGTGCTTTATTCTCAAATTTGAACAGCTTCAATGTAAGAAAGAAGACATCCAGTAATCACAACTCCTTGTAGAAAACGTTGTCTAACACCACAGAATCTCACTTTGATGGTAGACCAGGAGTGACATCGTCAATTTGCACACCTCGGTGGCGTGGTATATTTAAAAGCTCTCCGGGGAATTTAAGTCTTTTTCAAACTTGGAAGTCACCCTCAGTTTTAAATCTCAAGCTGTTGTGTCTTTAAAGCTGCCACCTCAAAGACTTGTGTTGACTTTACGATGAAGCCGAGTGTTTACTACAGCCGGCTGAAGACTCTATTATGCCTCCAGCTTGTCAAACAAAATTGATATTATGGACCGGATCCAAAGCCCATTGGCAATTAGCCACTATTCATCAAAAACCCAAGCGGTGGGGAGATGAGAACAAACGAGCCTCTATTTGCATTAACAAGCAAAGTACATTACCAGAGTGGTGAAGATATAGTGGTAATACTCTGTCATCATCCCCATGGTCTGGGCCTGCAACGATACAGAGACACAGAGAAAGATTGGAATGAATAGAAGCAGGAGAGAGAAACAGTCATTTTAAAATCAACAGCATAGTCCGAGTACACAATGCTTAAGAGATGCACAAACGCCTTGTGCCAGCTTTTAATGAGCCTATTGAGTGAAACGCTGTTCATTGCATGGACAAGTTTCTGCTTTCCTTGTTGGGATTTCTGCACCGTATGTGGTCCACCGACTTACAGAACAGCAACAGCACTTGATGCTTTTTCTATGCATTTAAATGGTTTGCAATGGCTTCAGGGCACATGACGTTATCCCGGCAGAGAAGAGGGGCCGTCAATCAAAAAAGCTCGGCAATCTTTGCCTCATAAGCTCCATCGCCACCACTTGTTTCACTCACTCTACATTCAAAGGCAGCACATTCTGTTACTCCCATTAAATTGTACCATCTGTTGTTGGGGAAAAAAAGCCAAGGTTATGTAAATAAGAAGCCACGCTTATGTGGAGGCAAATTCAATCCTCCATTAAGTCAAATACGTGACATTGAAACTTGTCGTATTTCCTTTTGTGGGATGGAGCTTTTGTTAATTTTCAGAAATTTGAATGCCAATTTTATTCATAAACTCTTATTTTGAAAAGCACATTTCATTAAAAGTGCTTTATAATAAGGACATTACATGCACCTGTGACTCACATGCAAATGAACAGAATGGACATAAAAACAGGGGCATGATGAACATCATAGGTAAAATAAAATACACTGCTGAGGATAAATTAGCATTATGACGCGATGTATTTCTGTCATAAATAACGGTCCTTCATAAACCTCCATATGCTGTTTTTTCCCCACATCACAGCAGGGTCACTGCACAAATGACAAAAGGAAAACACACATGAATGTGTGACAAAATGTACACAGGCACACCGGGGACGTGTGTCCTATTTTCTGCTGTCCACCCTGAGAGGGAATGTAACCTGACAGAAGCATGTTACATATGCAGGTGAAATTGTCAGAGTGGAGACGGCATGCACATATCGTGCAAATCAGGGCGTGACACACTGAATATTCTAAACATGTAAAGCAGAGCGTCAGAGGTGAGATTGAACTTGAAATAGTTGCACCAAATCTTTCCTTTTATGAACATGACATTTATGTATTTCATGCTTCTTCTGTCTACTCTTTTCCTGAGCATGGAGCCTTTTTTTGTTGAGCTGTAGGAGAAGCAGTGTGTTAATCTGACACTGTGGTTTTAAGGTGCCGGTTAATCTTGACCCTTCTGCTAAAATTTAAGGAATAGTCAACCATCTTCCTGTAGTAAGAAAGTACATTTAGATGACTATCACAGAGGGATGATCATTTTGAACACTGAAGTATATAAAGGGGCAGAGTTGAGCAGATTATGTTGTATATTTTAGCTTTATCTGTAGTATGTTTCAAATTTTTGAGAAAATGTCTCACATTCTGCCTTCAAGCCTCTAAAATGTAAGTAATAGTATATATTTCAGTCAACTGGTCTGAGAACACAAGCATATGAGTATGTGAACTTTGGCTTTTGATACGAGTGCTGCGATGAGCATTGTCCAGTTATTTTTTTTTAATATACTTTATTAGTCCCTAACGGAAATCTGGTTTACGCTCTGTTATCGAGAGACATGCTTCACATAGGCCCGATTCACACACATGCACAAACAGGACCTGTGGACATGCATTAGTGGAGAGATGTCAGAGTGGGGCTGGTACACACTGCTACACAGGCCAAAGCAATATACAGTATGTGAACAACAAAATGATCTTTTTATTACAGGCCTACATCTACGTTCCACTGCATAAGATCTTTTGCAATGTGTAAAATATCTTGTTTGTGGTTTTCATGGCATATGCTTCTCTGTTAACATGTAGATTGTTCTTTATATTGTTTTTTTTTTATTTGCTGAGTCTACAGCTCAATGTGTGCAGCATTGGAGTCCAAGGCAAATTTTACCAAGAGGACTATACAGTGTATTGTATCGTATCCTTTCTTATCGTATGCTATCATGACCCATTGTATTCTAACCTATCATATCTTATCGTATATCTTCTTGTATTGCAGTCAGAAAAGCAGGTAGGTTTTTTTTGTGTGAGAGGCATCATTCATATCACCTATCTTCCCTCTTTTATAATCTTTGGTTTGTACTGTAGCGACAACTCCATCTGTCACATAAGGGGACTGACTGAAGCATTTTTGCCTCAAAAGCGTCTCTTTCGTCGTCTCTCCAGAGGACACTGAAGCCTTGGTGCGAGTGGTGCAGAGTGGCCATGAGCAGATACGTGTCACCTTAGATCTCAGTAACTTGGGAGGACTTTGATTTATTTAAATAACTTGGGTGGAGATGATGATGCATTCAGTAAACATGTTAACAGAAGCTGACAGCAAACTGAATGGAGTGGGGGAGAGGGGGGAGGGGGGGTCCACCAGCCTGTTCCTGACATCTCTGAGCATCAGACCACCTACACAATCTGCGCTCTGTGCATCAAGCTGACAGCGCTGTGTTCACTGACAATCATTTATATCAAACACATGAATGTACTGTTTTGATAATGAAACAAGCATATCTGTTTGTTGGATGTATATTAGAGTCAAAGTCACCCACAATGCAATGGGGAAATGTGTTTTCTGTATTAAGGCAACTACAACAGAATCCATCCAGTGGACGCTGTTTAAACTACAACCAGTGAGACAAGAAAGACGAGTGAGGAGACAACCAGATTGTTGGATAAAAACATGTTTGTTTGTTATTGGCCAATCTGTTATGATTGAATTATTACTGATGCATTCTGCCTTGATGTCTCTCTTCACGGATGTTTTTCTCTACCCAGCCACCAGCTTAAAATGCAATTGGACACTGCCACAAACAGAAACCAGAACGCTTATGACATCTAAATCGTGTCCCACGCTACAGATTCTGCATTTATATCCAGCAACTAGGCAGTGACAAGTCAAAATCCTGCACTGTCAGATGTCAAAATTTCACTGTTGCTTAATTAGCTCTCCTGAACTCACCTGTTTGAGAATCTGTGCAGCCATGTGGTGACTGCAGTCGAAGATGATGCGGAACTCGCGGCTCCTCTTCATTTCTTTGAGCAGGGGCCTCGTGTCCTCTGAGTCGAGGGGAAGCTGACGGATCTTTAGCCGTATGTTGTACCTTGACGGGGCCATGATCAGCTCCTGAAGTCTGATAAGACCTAAAGAAGAGTAACAGCACAAAACAAGGCAATGGCTAAGACACCCTTTTTTTTTCTTCCTTGAACCATGTGCTCTGTGTTTAAGCGCATGCAGGAAAATGATACCTGTGCTGTCGTCGTATACGACAGTGGCTGTCTTCCATTTGAGAAACTGCACCAGGTCCAAGATAGCATAGCTTAGCGAGGAATAGTCCGGATATAAATTGGCATAAAAGCTGTCCCTGTTGTCCATGGGATGATGTTTCCACCGCACCTGGATGTGCGGCACTTCCAACGCATTACAGATGGACTGCACTGCATTCGACGATGAACTATGTGAGGGCCCGAATATTGCAACCACACCTAAAGACAGCTGGTCACAAGCTGGAGAAGAGCAAGAGGAGAAGACTTTGGAATGAACAGATTACAGAATAATTATCACAATAGACATTTGGTCGTTTTTGACTGACCAGATTCTCGTCTTCCTCCCTTGAACAAACACACACAAAAAAAAGCCACTCACCTTTTTTTGACGCCTCAAAACTGTCGTAGATATTAATCCTCTGTATGTCATATGTTAGTGTTGTGTTTGGCAACAAAGTCCTGTTTCTGTTAATGTTATTGACAGCAAATTTAAAGGCAAGCTCCTCAGCGCTAACAAGCGAAACAGGTCCATCTGTTCGTTCGAAGATCCCACCTGAAAAACAAAAGAGACAGCGACATAAGCCCCTGACAGTCGGATTCAAACATAATCACGAGCGCAAAGGAGAAACACAAACACAGTTCCAGGTAGGAATAAATGGAGGAAAAATATTGAGAGGCGTTTGCACTTAGGACGAGCAAGGAGGGGGAGCAGTGCACATTACACCAGGTATTAAATTTACTCAGCAAACACGGAGAAACCCTCTCCATTTTCAGGGAATGCTGAAAAAACAACCAATATCAGCTTTGAAGTCTAGAGCCATAATGGATTTAAGGAGTGTGTGTTTCTGTGAAATGTGTGTGTGTGTCTGTCTGTCTGTTCCATCAGGGCAGCATAATATCTCAGGCCCTTGTCTCTCCATTAAGAAGTTCTTTTTATTTCAGCCGAATGGCACATTGGTGGAGCACATAACTGGACTCGTGTTCTGTTCTTTTACATAAAATTCAAAGGAAAGTTATTCTCTTCTTTGCTCAGAACTTACAAAACATGTCTTTATTCACATCAAAGTAGAGGATCACTTCAGATGTTGATGTGTATAAGACCATTAGCAAGCATATGGAAATTAAACTGTTCAGTTGTTTGCTGAATGTATAGGGTTGATATACTGGCCTTATATATCAGATATACTGTAACAGCTTATATTTTAGATTTAAATCAGGTCTCCCAAAAGACAACTCTACATATTTTATACATAATCCATTTTCACGCACACTCCTGAAAATATCTAGATCATTTCAGGGGGGACTGCTCCGGTTATTCTCCTGACCTGGCTGTTCACATAATGCTCCTCACAACGGGACACTATCCCTGTCAGGGGGGCAGGTGGTCTCCCGAGGTAAGATGCCAGACGTGAAAAAAAAAGATGCTATAATGAGAATATTTGCCTTTATATCAATGCTATGTGTGGTCCAGACGAATCGTAGATCATAGCGGTCGAGGGGGGGGGCAGTTAATGCACTGACTCCATGTAACAGTATAGAAATATCACCACCACCCCTCCCATTGGCTCAAGCTGAATTCTCCGGAGAATATCCTGCTGTGTTCTCACATAAGCTCACTGTGGTAAAAATACTAGGGGTCTGGCAGGAGACACTCCGGGTGAAGTCTGAAAGAAAAATCTGGCTGTTTGCGTTCACACATACAACTCCTTCTGAAAATATTTTGAGTTTTTCAGGAGTTTTCTGCAAGTGTGAAAGCCCTAATAGAGACCAGTTTCTTTCCTGGGCTCTACTCAGCCTTGGAAATCGAATCTGTTATCCCTCCTTTACCTCCAAAGGGAGCTTTTTATGTCCCAGAAAATCCTCATAGGGATATCTTGGTGATGGCCTCGGTAAGCTAATATGGGTAACAGTATAACAGAAATGCAGCATTACAAACTGAAGGAGCTTGAGCTTCCAACAAGTGGATTGTTGTTGTATCAATGGAATTGACAGATTGATTATGTGTATGAATTATTATTGTTTTAATATTTATTAAGGGGCTTTTTATGCCTTTGTTTAGAGATAGGACAGTGAATAGAGTCAGAAAACAGGGAGACACAGAGTCGGGAACGACATGCAGGAAAGGGGTTTCACAGGTCGGAATTGAACCTGGGCCGCCCGCTTGGAGGACTAAAGCCGACATGTACATGGGGCGTGCACACTAACCACTTTGCAATCTTTTTTGTGGGTAAATGAGAGCTACTGGTATATTTCCCTTGCATATTGATTTATCTTGTCCAAGAAGGATTGATGAACTTGAGATACTGACACAAAATGTTGCATTAAGTTAACTTTGTCCCCCAACTCTATTTTCTAGCATTATTGTATAATACAAACACTCAAAAATCCATCTTTTTTTTTTTTTTTTAATTCAATTTTAATTTAATTTATTTACTAATGTCACTAATGTCAATTAAAGAAATCAAATGCTTTGGTTTGTTTGAGTGTTTTGTTGTGTTCTTTGGGTTCAGGACTTTCTTCACCATGGCCTTGCCCAGAACTATCACCAGCCAGCCTGATAGTCTTAGTAATGCCAGAGAATACCTGGTTTCAGAGAGCGGAGCTTTGGAACAGCACCTGTGACCTGCTGATGCCCCCACACACAAACACACACACACACACACACACACACACACACACACACACACACACACACACACAGAGTCCTGTAGCCTGGATCACAGAATCACATATACCTCTGTGTTGCTGTGGGCAGAGCAGCATTTCTAGAAGCTAAACTCATCTTACTATTTATGACTCAAAGCCTCCCTGGATTGCGAGTGAACGTGATGCATAAACCGCCCGGTGGAATGCGTCACATTAAAATAAATGAATCCTTCCATTTCATGGGGAAATCTCATTAGAGTACATTAAGTAATTGCTGGAGTATATAGTAATTTGACTGTTAAGAGGATAAAATGTGCATTGCTCAGAAGCACTTTAACAAATTTAATAAACAGGGGGGAACTTGCTCCTTGGGAGGAGAATCCTGCGGATAATTTGCTTTTTCGTTCTCAGACTTCTGCCGTGAGCACAGCGGCAAGGCTTAATGTGCGAGAGCTCCTGCAACTCCCTGAAATATGGAGTTCTCCTGGCATCCTGCAGAAATTACTCTAATGATGTAGAGATTGGAAAATGGAGGAACATGTTTACAAGTTGCCTTTGAAACGACTGCTCTAAATGTTTTTTTTATGCAGTGGGTAAAGCAAATTGAGATGCATGAGTTTCAGAATCTTAGTCAAAAGGCTTCAAATTAGCACGTCTCCAACAGACAAGAACACAAAGGCCGTTAATTAGTCTCCCAGGTCCTACTACAATATATAAATCAGCCACTAATTGCAGCTGTTTCCATAATTTGTCCGTTGAGGGCTTTGGATTTGCTGCTTTCAAACGCCACAGACAGATGCTTGTGCGGAACGAGCGGTTCACATTCCACTTGTAAACAGCAGAAAACTAACTCTACCACTGATCCACATCGGCCCCAAAAGGTGCTGAAGTGGAGAACTGAAGCTTCCCTTGAAATTCAACTCAAACTTAAAGTAATGGGGACTCAACTTGGATTCTTCTGAAGTAACTCAAGACTGGATTCAGACTTCAGGTTTGATGACTCGACACACTTGCTAGATTGACCAGTTTATCAGGGTAAATGTAACTAACATGCCTGTGCCGCTCATGAACCTTATCCCTGTGGTTCCATAATGTCAAATAACATTAGGCTGCCTACTTCCACATGTTGATTAAAAACACAAGCATCATGAAAGTACATAAGCAGGGCACATGAGGGCAGTTAACTCGCTGTAATCTTTTTACATACTAGGTAGACGGTATGTGTTAAATATTGATTCAAATAAAAACATGTTTTTCGAGGAAATAAATTATACATCAAAACATTTAGCTTGCATGTAAATGAAAAGGCTTTGGAAATGTGTGTTCTGAAGAAAAATCCAGCTTCATTTCATCCTAAATAGAAGCTCGGGTTCAGTTTGGTGTACAAGGCCTGAAGGAGCTGACAGAGACATGCTGCGCCGAGTCAAAATCACAGGTCTCACACTTCAGTTCTACATGCCCGTGCACAAATCCATGATGTAGCATGAAAGCCCTGCGTGTCATGCGCCCGCAAACGACGTGGGCAAGTGCACAAGCGTATACCATCCCTCCGCTGTTATGTGGTGGCAGATTGCCTGCGAGCCAGCTTAGCCTGTAAGGCTGGAGTCATCTGGGTACCACTGAAAAGACTTATTTAGAACATCTGCTGCATTTACTGACTTCAAAGAGCGTGATCTGAGTGACAACATGACAGTGTGCCAAAACAGAGGCACGCTCAAATAGAATCATGCTTGGGTTTGTTTTTTTTGGGTGGTGGGGGGGGGGGACTTTACTTTAAGTTTATCAGTGTCCTGTTTTGATTTTCTTATGAATAAGCCATGTTCTGTTTAAAGACATGCATACTTAAGCTATATTATTATTTTATATTGCAAGTATTAAATTCCACAAATATAACAACATCTCTTAATGTCTTCATGTCTGACTTGTTAAAGAAAGAATTTGATACTTTCGACCGGGTAGCTGTCGCCCTTGAGCACCAGCATGAAACCAAGTCAAAGTGCAGTTTGGCCACAACACGGCCATACTGAATCCTCCGCTCTCCTTCAGCGACTCACCTCCAACCCCCCCTCCCCTTTTGTTTTCACGAGAGAGTTATCAAATGGAACGCACCATTAAGCCCAAGCGGTGGACAAAATTGTCCTCAGCTTGAGCTGCAATTGCCTGTGGCCTGCATTGTTGTGTTAGCAGGCTAATGTTAGCTCTCTTTAGTTATCCCGTAGCTTAACAATGCATGCAAAATTGATATGGATTGACCGTGATCTAGAAACACTTAGGGGACATTGAATTAAGCAGTGAGTAGGCTATTCTTTTTCTCTCTAGTCATTGACTAAAACAGCTTTATACACGAGGCCATCCCGTCCATGTAAACATGAAGTAAACACAGCTCAGACAACTGTACAGCTGGCGGGATTCACTCTTCTCACTCATTGCAGACAGTCATTACCCAGGGATATTTACACAGGGTATACTTGATTTATGCTGTATTTATGTGTAAATGTTGCACATTCTTCTTTTAAAGCATCTGGCTTTCTGTTTTTTCCACCTGCAATTCTCCTCCAACTGCTTGGGCTTATATCCAAGATTAAATATGTTTATTGGTTTGTAATGTAAACACATTGCATTATGATGATGCATTTGTCCAGATCCTTAAAACACAAAAGAGAGAACACATAATCTCAAAGTGAAATTGTTTGATTTAAGCTCATTTTGTCTCGAAGAATCCAGGAAGATTAAATTTTTTTCTACAATACTGTCTTCTTGTTTTTAAACAGCCATCTATCTTTCTTGACACAGCATGTGTGTTTAAAATAAATGCTGCATCCACAGTTTCAAAGCGAGGCAAGGTCAGTGTCTTCGTAGCTGCTCTCTTAACTGCTAAGGCAAAAAAAAAAACTGATACGATTGACC